CCCTCCCCCACCTCGAATGCTGGAGGTGGAGAACCCGGGCCCGGCGGACGCCGCCGTGATCCGGGACCTCGTCCTAGGCAAGTGGAAATCCCTGTGAATTACGGTGTACAAATCCAATGAATTTCAGTCGAATGTCGATGAATTTTAGTCGGAATTCGATGAATTTCAGTCGAATTTTGATGAATTTCAGTCAAATTTTGATAAATTTCAGTCAAAATTTTATGAATTTAGTCGAAATTTGACGAATTTCAGTCGGAATGAATTGTACTCGAAATTCGATTAATTTAACTCGAAACTCGATGAATTTCAGTAGAAATTTGATGAATTTCAGTAAAAATTCGATGATTTTCAGTAGAAACTCGATGAATTTCAGTAGAAATTCGATTAATTTCAGAGAAATTCAATGAATTTCAGACAAAATTTGATGAATTTCAGTCGGAATTTGATGTATTTCAGTCGGATTTCGCTGAGTTTCAGTCAAAATGCGATGAATATCAATGAAGTTCAGTGAATTTTACAAGTTTGATGAATTTCGGTGTACAAATTTGGCTGGTTTTTTCCCCTTGGTCCCAGGCCCCGGCCCTGGCCCCCGCATCCTGCACACGAGGACCTGGACGGACCAGCTGCACGGCGTGGAGGCGTGGCCGGCCGGCGAGCGGCCCGCCCTGGACGTCCTGCACGTGTCCCTGGTGTTCGCCGGCACCGAACTGCTGCGGGTGTTCGGGCGCACGACCGCCCGCCTCGAGGTGGAGCTGGATCTCGACCGCAGAGTGGTCACCTCAGAAACGAAGAGTGACAGCAGGTAATAAAGCCCGAGACATTTTTTTTGGTGGTGGTGGGGGCAAATACTATCGTTAATACATGGGCAGCTCAAGCCAATCTTTTGCGGGGGGGGGGGGGGCGGCAAATACTATCTTTAAAACATGGGAGTGTTAGGTTATCGCATGGGGGGGGGAATAGGTGTCGTTCCCCCACCCCCCCCCCCCCCCCCCCCCCAAAGCCCCTAGATAGCCACCTGAAAGGTAGACAAAAAGTGCTACTTTGCCCCCCCCCCATAGGCCGCCTCCGGATCCGCCACTGTAAGCAGAAAAATGCTGCCATAGTCTGTAGATGCTCTCAGCCTGCGAAGTGGCGGGTAGGCAACCCGAGCACTTCGCCGTGGAGCGCGTGGCCTATCTCAATTAACATTACCATTACGGGCTAGACTGCATAGGTCAAGGCGCTCCAGAGGAAGCCGCCCAAAATCACGAACTCCGAATTTACTCCTGCTTATTCCGTGTGGGGAAAGGGATAGGGCCGTCGCTCAGAGATCAAACGTGCAGATCAAGATTATGTGGTAAACCGACGGACGATTCGTTCACATCTCAAACGCGATCCTTCTCATTTGAGCACATGCACTTCAAAGCCAGTGGTAAAATTGCCTGCCACCAATTAGGCAAGCCGTTTTGATTTTCTAAAATTGGCAAGCTTGGCCGAAATTGGCTCAAAAATTTGGCAAGCGTATGAAGATTTCAGGTCGAAGCTTGCCGAATTTTGGCATTCAAAACGGCTTGCCACAGTAGTGGTATGCAAACTTACCTCTGGCTTTGCAGTATACGCCCATTTTTCCTGAACCATTCTTCCTACTGTCGTTTTTTCCTAATGTCAATTTTTCTAAAACATAATTCCTAATCCAAAGTTCCTAAAATCAAAAATTCCGAATGCCATTTTTCTTAAGTCAATCATTCCTAACTTTTATTTTCTATATTGAAATGCCTATTGTGGGGCACCTTTACAGTACAATGGTGCGAGCAAGGATCCCACACTGTACATAGTATGTTGTGAATTTACAACGGAATATTTTCCGAAGGTTTTTGGAATTGTCCAAAAGTGCACTGAAAATGTTTCTTTCCTACAGGATATTTTGTAAATCAACGGTAGTTCGTCGTTAATTTACGCAGGTTCATAGTAAAATTACGAAGAAAAATCGTTAATTTACAAAGTCTGTTAGAAATTTAGGAAGTGCTTCGTAAATTTACGACGGGCCTTCGTAAATCTGCGACACACCTTCATAAATAAACAAAGAAACTGTTGGCAATTTTTCGCTGAAGGATCCGTCGTTAATTTCAGACATTATTACGAAGGTTCTTTGTTTATTAAAGAAGGTTCCCTGTAAATTAACGGAGGATCTTTGTAGACTTGAAGGTGCTTCGCAAATTTCCATTGTTGTAAAATCGACAGAGGCCCTCTAAACAACTAACGAAGGTTGTTGTAAATATACGAAGAGCTTCGTAAATTAACGAAGGAACCGTTGGCAATTTGTTTGCCGAAGGATCCGTCGTTAATTCCGAACATCAATTTTTACAGTGCACCGTTTGCCAAATATTTTTGTCGAGAGCCAGTGGCGAGCAAACGGAGAGAAAACGGCGAGCGAAGCGAATTTCTTAACTGAATATAGCAGAAGACGGTTGTGCTGGTCAGGCCACTTCTTCTTAAAATCCTCCCGGAACCGCCGGCCCACTGAGACCTCAGCAAGCTGCACCTCAGTGTCGGACTGCTCCTTAAGGAGTTCCTTCTGCAATTCCTTCAGAGAGGGGACAGGTCTAGATGATGCTTGTCAACCGCGATAGCAGGAAATATTGAGTTTCAAAGTAAACAGCAGGAAAAATTCAGTACCAAAAACAAGTTTTGGGAAATGCGGTAGGAAAAACTAGTTTTGGGAGATGCGAATCAGGAAAAAACGATTTTAGGAAATGTGGTTAAGGAAGAAAGGGCAATAGGAAATATTGAGGTTTCTATAAATGTACTGGTGGGAACCGTGTGCAGAACTCCACGTTCCCTCGTGTGTGTGTGTGTGTGTGTGTGTGTGTGTGAGAGAGAGAGAGAGAGAGAGAGAGAGAGAGAGAGAGAGAGAGAGAGAGGGAGGGAGGGAGAGAGAGAGAGAGAGAGAGAGAGAGTCAGAGAGAGAGAGACAGAGAGAGAGACAGAAAGAGAGAGAGAGACAGAGACAGAGTGGGGGGGGGGACTAAACTCTTGTGGACTGCTTTATGTTCTGATGTTGAACTCTGTTTTGCGTTGCAGTCCCAGATCGCGTCCGTGGATGAATCGCCAGGTAAGGAAAACAGTTTCACTCCACATTTTGTAAACGCTGCAGTCTTAATCCAAAGGCGATACACTGGTAAAACTAACGCGTAGTGTTACCCTCTGTTTTCAACTTGAATTTCATTTCTCCGCAGGTCGCCTTCAACGTCTGGCAGCTCGTGGGGAGCCACGTCCGAGAGGTGGCTCTGCTGCGGTCCCACGGCACTGGTTCATCAGAGCGGGTTGCCTTGTGCGCCCAGCAGATGGCGCTGGTGAGAGGCGTGCTTCCCGACGCAGTGGTCAAATGCAGCGGCTGCGAGGGTGCCAACCTCTGCCGCTGCTGAAAAGTGTTCGGCTCGAAGATGACGTCACGCTGATGACGTCACAAGGCGACGAAAATCAACTCGAACACCCGGTTTGTCAGCGTCGACTGTCGTAAGCATTGATTGTGTATTGATCCCATGGATTCGTATTTTTGGAGTGGTATGCCAATGTTATAGGCACCTTGTCATATTTTTCTTTATTAAAATGAATTGTTGGAAAGTAATAATCAGCCTCTGCACTTTAAACTGTACGAACACCGGTTGAACAAAGGCATAACTATGCCCAAACAGGGCCAAACGATTTACGCCTTGGGAACAACGTGAATCGTTTCAGGCTGTAGGGAGGAGATCTAGAATAGGATTTCTAGGGATAAACTTATTTTTGGTCAAAATTTGGGGGAAAGCGGCAGAGGGGCACCGGCCCTATTTGTCGTGGCGGTAGCTCCACGCGCTTTTCCCTGGATAGGAGTGTGTTCTTCTGCTTTCACCACTCTAAAAAAAATCAGTGCAGAATTTTGTAACATGGTTACGCAGCTTTTTCAATAACATGTGTTACAGAAATTTGTATCACGATGGATACAATTTTTTTCTTCGTAACTTGGTTACAGAATTTCGTAACGGTTACAAAATTTGTAAACAGTCGTTATTCTTCCAAATCAAGCTTCAAAATGAGAATTTTGTTCGAACGTAGTCTCCGTGGGTCTGATTGAAGGTCCTTATGCCATTTTTCGAGTAACGACTTTCCCAGATGTACTCTGAGAAGTCGGGAATCGAACCCCAAACTCTGGGTTGGCGGCCCGCCACGCTACCAACTGCGCTGTGCGGACGCCGTGTGCTTGCGCATGTGCTATGTTTAATTAACACCTCTGAACCAAGCGCTAAACGCGAGGGGAAGGGTGATCTTGCTTGTTGCTTTCCGCATGATCCAATTTAGGTCTGACGACAAGATGTGATTGGTGAGAGGGAGCGACAAGACAAGACTGAATATTAACGTAACTTGGACAAATTATGGAAATGGGCCGAGCGCAGTTGGCGCATGCCATCTTCATCATGCAACTATGCGCAATACTGCCCTGCCAGTTTGGCCCGGCAGTATTGATGGCGGGTGGCTGAATCAGCATGCCCTGCTTGTACCCGCTGGTGCAACGACCTCATCGGGAGGCCTTGTTCGGTGTGTTCATTGCTTTGCCTGTCTAACCACTTCACTCCCTTAGCTGTCACTGCTCAGCGCGCCATGCTTGGTGACTCACCGTCCCGGTCGACAAGGCAGGGTGGCAAGTTCAAACCCCATGCCGCCGTGGTCAGTGGGTGGGGGTCGCCTACAGTGCGTTGGGGTGCTCCCTCGGTGCCCCCAGAACTACCGCAGATATGGCCACTGGCTCGCGAGCGATTGCCCCCGGCACTCGTTGACGCGGGGTGGGGGTGGCCTGCCTGGGGAACACCCTTGGTGTCCCCTGGAGGGGACCCCCACTCGGTGCGACGAGGGTGGTGTTCCTTCGGGTGTACATTGGTTGTGCACTGGTGGGCAGAGCTGCGGCGGGGGTGGCATCGTAGGTGCATCCCCCTTACCCACGCGACCACGTTCGGCCGGAGCGGTGGCGACGAAGAAGGCGTCGCCTAGCTACCCCGGCATTGCGCCCTACGCTCTTGGTCTGGGGCACTCTGAGGGTGGACGCCTTGACGGTCGCGTCCGCTTTGGGGCTGGGAGAAGCTTGGCATCGGCTTTTGCCTTTGCATGGCCTGAGCGAAACAGCGAAGGGCGGAGAGAGGAGGAAACGAAGGTCATCAACTGCGGAATGGGTGATGAGTGGTTGTTTGGGGAGGGGGGGGGGGGCAGCGATAATTCCACAGGCGCAACCCACCCAGCAGACCGGTATGAAGGAGAAGACTCAACTGCTACTACACTGACTAATATAACCCACTCCCTCTGACCCTTCCATACATGCCGTCGTCCTACGCAGGAGTAGGGCGGCCGAGGTTCTCCGGTGAATACCGTTTTCCTCGGTGGCTACCTGTCCCCCTTTCTCTCCACAGGACGCAACCCACCCCCCGTGCTGGCGGATTAGAATACCAGTCCCGGCCCCGGGGAGCCAAGGGTGTGACCTCAAATACCCTCAGGGGTCAGGAGGCGGTTGCTTGATTGATTGATAAACTTATTTTTGGTCAAAATTTGGTCCATTTTGATGTCTAAATGACGTCATTTGATGTTAGTTTGATTTGATTTTGACTTCCTGTTCTCCTTGGGTTAGGCGTGAAAGACTTGTTCATGCCTATAAGAGCGTAGCAATTATGCCCTTGTGTTACCACTTCAATTACCTCTCCATTTTCCGTCCAAACATGTGCTGTATCTGGTATAGGTCAGTCCATTTCTTTGAAGAAATGTCAATAAGGGTGGAAAGTTTTCCTGCCAAAAGCACAAATGGCCTCTAATTGATAGTGTTCTGAATATATCTTATTCATTTCCAAAATATTTTGAGTGTTTGAGTGCTCCTCAAATTTCAATTATTTTGTGATATCACGTGTTTCCCTTCACCATTGTGGACCTACAAAGAAGCGCTCGCCGCCTGCATTGGAAACCATTTTAATAACGTTGAACTAAAAAGAATTCAGGGAGAAAGATTGTGTAAAGACATTGCACGTGACTTTGCTAGCACCTTAGGGTAAGTCATAATAAAATTCAATGTTTTTAAAATGATTTATTCTGAAAAGTTCGTTGTCAAATAGAGAACTACAGTTCCAAACCATATACAAGTGAAATGTGACACTGAACTTTTGATGAATTCGTCACAAAAAAGGGGAACTAACAAAGCGCAGATAAATCGAACGCTAGGACTGAACTTAAAATAAAAAACAACAATTAAGGCAAGTGGACTCTGAGCCTGGCACATACATTCATCGAAAGTCACAAGAAACACATGAAATATTATATCAGTGCAATATGCTATCATCGTTGAATGCATTTTGATCCGAAGTCAACTAAAACATGTCATCAATGTTACTAGTAGATCTCCCTTAACTTGAAAACTATGCCAAATTATGCCCATTACACAGAATGATTCAGAAAATTAAGAATTTGTGGTAGGAAACAATGCAATTGAGTATCAGAACCGATCAGAGCGGCTATTGTAATCGTAAGCGGTAAGTAAAAATCAGGGCATGGGTTACTTTAACACCGACCTGATGGCACACGGTTACGAGCTACAACCGACCACCTGGAAGCACTTCTGCGGGCAGTCAGCCCTCCTGACATGGGACGAGTAATAGTTGAAGTGCTGGAGGGTTCCGTGGCAGCCCCAGCGGCACCACGCGCAAGCACAGTTGTCGGGGATGGTGGACATGCCGGCCTCGTACAGGTGCAGGTTGGGGTTCCTCACGAGGACGTCCTGCACGGCCGGGTCGTGTAGCCACGCGTGCAGACACATGCCGCGGTCGGTGGAGCGCACACTGAGCACGGAGAGGCTGGGGAGGGTCTCGGGGCTGATGGCCTTGAGCACGACGTTGGGTGGCACCGAGTCCAGGCCGAGGTACTTCAGGAGGGAGAACTTCGGGAGCGTGGCGGCGACCCGCTCCAGGAGACCCTGAGCCACGTCGACGCCCGAGATCGCGTTGATGTGGAGAGCCGAAGGCGAGTCGGCCAGCGCCACGAGGTGGGCGTCGGAGCCCACATCGCGCGTCCCGTTGAACTCCACCGAACGCAGGTGCGACGACCTTCGCAGGAAGTCCACTAAACCGGCACAGAAAGCGCCATCCTCGGTCACGCGCGCCCCCATCAGACGAACGCTCTCCAGGCTGGGCAGGTCCGCCAGCTCGGACAGGCGGTCGCAGGGGTGGCAGGCCAGTACGCGCAGCCGGGGCATGCTGCCCAGCAGGGTCGTGGGGATCTCGTGAAGGAAAAACAAGAACACTTCTTCCAGTGTGGGGGCGTGCGTCTTGAGAAGGAGATCCAGGCAGGGGTCCACCTCACGAGACCAGTACGACAGCTTTCTCAACGAGGGGCGGAGCTCCAGGTCGCTCAAGGGTAAGACAGCCTCCATCGGGTCGAAGGCACCAGTTCCGAAGACTTGCAGCTCTTGGAGGCCATCGATGTGGACGACTGCCTTCAGCAGCGTGGCAACCGAGGGAGTCGGCAGGGGACAGTGGAAATGAAGGGACAGCTTCTTGGCGCCGCCGAGGGCAGACAGCTTCCCCACGATGGTGGTGGCGAAGGCCGCGTCCAGCTGGCTGCCCACTTCCACGGACAGGTCGCTGACGACGCACGCCGTCCCCTGCACGAGGTACGCCACGGCCTCCGGGTTCGTGACGCGGACCTCCCCCAGGCACGGCGCGAGGTTCAACGCGGCGCGCAGCAAGAACAGGTCCGACACGTCGGCGGTCTGCCACAGTCGCCGGTGCAGGCACAGGTCCCTCAGGCGGCGGCACAGCGCGCGGCACTGCAAGAGTTGCCTGGGCTCGAGGTGCGCCAGCACCGCCAGCAGCACTTCGTCCGGCAGGAGCAGCAGCTGCGGACACGCAAGCACACTGATATTAGTAATGTGACAAGTTTCATTCAATTACACTGAGAATGAAAAAGTCATGATCAATACCCAATTTTGGGCGAGGTTTACTTTCTAACCCAAATTTGGGCGTGGAAAGCTTCCTCGCCCAATTTTAGGGGAGGAAGGGTGTATCAGCTCCTTATATAGCTCTATAGATTTGGGTGAGGAAAATTTTCTCACCCAAATTTGGGTAATAAAGAATTCCGCACCCAAAATTTTAGTCAAGACCATGACTCTTTCATTCTCAGTGTAGCAGAGATAAAAAGGCTCATGTGACTTCCTTCAAATTCAATTACGAAGTTTATCGATTTAACGGTCGTTCCCGGGGAAGCTTAACATATTTAATGGCAGTTGCTTAAATTTAAAGGGCAATAGGGTCCATCCTCAAAAGTCCTGCGTTGAAGAACGACTGTCGTGTCGTGGTTCTGTCAAATTGCGCCCAAGATCCGTGGATCCGTCTACGGGGTGGGGTCCTGAGTTAATTGCTTGAGGTTGAGGGTCAGCAAACTTCCCTTGGCCGTGTACGGGGGAGTATACGTATATTACCAGTAATATAGGTAATATATGTGTAATACAAAGTAATAGATAGTAATATAGGGGTATTATAGAGGCGAAATTGTGGTAATATGCAAGTAATATATGGTATATAAAGGTAATATACGGGTAATATAGCCACCGCGTACGAAGTAATATGTGAGTTGCCGACCCCTCGCTTGAGGTTAGAGAACCGAAGAAACCATCCTCTGGATTCAAGCGGAGTGAATGCTATTGTTACGCCAAGACGAAAACTGCTATTCGTGGCACGTTTGAACTTGATTCCCGCCAAAGGCAATCGCAACGTAGCGCGATTGTTCTACACTTATGAGGAGAAAACTTTGGAAAAACAAAATTCTCCGGTCTTACTAGTTTTACCTCGTTTTTCTTACATTCGCACTATGCTTCGACCTGCCGAAAGAACGCTTAGTCGAATGAAGTACCCGCTTTGTGAAACTAACATGGCAACTGCTGGCCTATGATCGAGCGTAACCCGCAGATCCTACGAACACCGCAAGGTTGCTAATTTGACAGTGTCCCATTGTGCCCAGTGTCCCATTGTACCCCACCCTCCCTTACGAGCCAGCGTAACGTTACGGTATGCCGAAACGCTAAATATGAGAACACATTTCGGAAGTACAAACAGTAATGAGGGTAAAAATAGTGTTCACCTAAGAAACGTTGCGAAACGTTACGCTGAGAGGGGGTGAGGGGTACTGGCATAAAGTGACGCCGCTTAACATGGGAAAGGGGGTGGGGGTAAAAAAATGTCCTTAATTACGTAACGTACTTAATGGACGGCCCCTTTTGATACGCAATACAACGTAAATCAACCATCTTTTCAGTTGCGTTACGTTAACTTTCCACCCCACGTCGAAGCACGCTGTTCAAAAGACTTACATCCATAGCTGCCACTGCCTGATGAGAACGCCGACTGCGAACCGCTGGATCCAAAATGCTGCTGATGCTGGATGTTGCTGATGCCGCGTGTCCCGCTGCCAAGGGTTGGCTCTCCGCGTCGAGTCACGTCGTCTGCAGTTCCCAACCACGAGCTTGCCGCCCCAAAGTAGACTGCAGCGGCGATCCACTCGGCAAGGCTGCAAACGATTGCAAGGTTTCACGCGGTGGCAAAATCAAGCATGTATGTTACGGCAGTACAGTGACGAATGTCCACACTACAAACTCAACTTGTCTACTGAGTACTCACTTACAAACGCATGCTAGGCGCCGTATTACTCCATAGTAAACCTAGGCGTTTGTAAGTGTGTACTAAGTAGACAGTGTGGCCGACTAGCTCCACATCCGCGCAGGTTGAGGTTGCACGACTTCGACGGCCAGCTTGGAGTCCCCTGCCCTCACGTCAACCACTTCACTGGTTGAAGGCAGCCTCACTTCGGCTCATCCCTCCGTACACTCCTTCGGAGGCCGAGGTACAGACAGAACAGGGTTGTTACCTGCGCTTGAGTGATTCCCAACAGAGGGCTTCGGTCCAAAGAAAAAGAGGAGGAATACCGGATGTCGCAGCGGCAGCCCATAACAAACCCTCACTTGTTTCTGTCCCCTCCACTCCAAAGCAGGCGACGGCCGCCGCCAAATCGGGGTGGAAGGGTTTGTTATGGGCTGCCGCTGCGACATCCGGTATTCCTCCTCTTCTTCCTTAGGCCGAAGTCCTCTACTTCCAACAGTCTACTGATATCGCAGTCCTTCTGCATGCCACGGGATCCTCTGCTCATCGCCTTACTGCTACCTTGAAGTGTATGTAGTGTATATACACAAAGCAGGTGTACGCCAGGCCGTGTTTAGTGGTATCAGGCTTTGCGATGCTGCGCCACGTACGCCAATCCTGGCTTGGCGTTTACTCCTACCTGCGCCTGCGGCGCTTCCTGCTAGCCTTCGGCAAGCCATCTCAGATATTTATGTTGAAGCAATGAGTAGATCACTCCGAGAGACAAACAGCCTGTGAAATAGGCCACTCCGCTGCTTAGAACAGAGGAAGAAAAGATGCTAACAACTTCCGTCCCCTCGCCTGCGGGGAACAGAGGGGCAGCGGAAGTATGTACTTCTTTTCTTCCTCTTTTCGAACCAGCGGAATGGCCTATTCGCTGGAATGAGGGTGTGCGTCGCTGCCCTGCCGATTCTGCAGGGCCCCTTTCTCACGCTTAGCTTCGCCTTAATCCTTCTTGATTTGTCCTCTACTTCCGTTTTAGGTATTCATCAGAATGTATTCTGATGAATACCTGGACCGGAAGTCCCCGTCCTCCTCCACTCGGCGTGGAAGCGAATTTGGATCTTACGTTTGTTCTTCTCTGAGAAAACCTTGCAGGCTTTAGAAAGAAAAGTAGTTCGTTTCAACAAAGTATTTTGAGCATACATCAGCCTGCAAAGAAAATACCTCGTATTTTACGAACTATTTCTTCGTACAATAAAGTACAGTAGTTTGTACTTGTGTATGCTCAACATGCTTCGTAATGTTTTAGGAGCGTTTGAATTCGAGTCCAGTACCCTCTTTACCTTCCTAGATAGGGTCCTACAATGAATCTCTAAACGGGAGACGAAGATCTAAAACAAGCCCTAAAACACCTGCGCATGGCCACCAGGTGGTGGGAACATCTGCGCATGCGCAGAGGCCGTTTTAAGGGCTTAATTTTGTTCTTCCGTTTCAAGATTCATTGGTGTACTACTCGAGCAGCATAATTTCGTGTCATCGTTATCCCCATCCTCACGTCTCATCCGAGGCGGGAGTTAAGTTCTGTTGGACATCAGGAACGGTACCTTGTTCCCTCGTCGTCCTGCTTAGCCAGCAAAGTGTCTCCGTCACTCGCCACTGCGTATTCAAAGTTGCCAGTAAGTAGATTGTTTAAAGTCGACCCTCTTGCTTCAGCTGCTTCTGCGCGAGGTTCAATTTCGAGAGGAGATCTGATCGGACCTGCCCCCGACGTTCGTCATGGAAATGGATGAATCTCAGGTGAGTCTAAGTGGATCCCGAATCCAGTATAAATAGATCTTGGATATCTAGTCCAGTCTAAGTATGTTAAGTCTTCGTGAATGTTGGATATTGTCTAAGTGAATCTTGGGTATCCAGTCTGAGTGGCTCCAATGTAAGTGGAGTCTTGTTTGAGTAGACCGGAAGTCATAAATGAAACGCTACAGACAGGCTACTTCACCTATTCTGGAGACGGATCAGTTGGCTTAGCTACTTCCGGTTTGGATCACGAGAAAGACCGCCTGTGTGGGAACGAGCGGTGCATTGGGCTACACTGAAATTCAAAGGGTGAGACATCTCACCAATTTTCGGCGATACAAAATGTATCACCGAAAAAAAGGTCGTACACGAATGTATCACCGAAAAAATGGTCGTACACGCATGTACCGTAGAACGGGGTAATATGAGACATGAAGGAAAATCGAGACAAAGCGCACTTTTTTCGGTTTTTGTCGTGTTTCTCTCTAGCGGTTGTTCAGAAGACTACCGTGAATTTTTTGTCGTGATCTAGGAGGCCGTGGCAGCTCACAGGAAACGCACGGAGGCTATCAGAGACTCGCCAGGGTTATTTAGAACCAAAGGAAAAACCTCTTAATTTTAACAAGTTTCATAAAGTTCGTAAAAACCTCCCCAGAAACCTCGGTTAGAACTTGGGTTCTCGTCCGAACGAGGTTTAAATCTGTAGGCAATTCTGTCAACATAATCAGGACAAAATTTGGTTCCGTTCTGTCTACTCTCGGGCTGCCTGTTCCAGATGGAATACAATTTTGTTACCTTGCAGGGAAAATAGAGACACCTCTTTTCGCTTGAAATATGAGGCCAAACATACTCCACTGTTAATAATTTCAAGTAATAATGATTTTAACACGAATTTGTTGTACTACCTGACCGGCATCTAAGCTCTTCGTTTAGTATTTTCATGTGACAGGCACAACTCATGACTTCTTATACATTTTTGAGCTCTCTTTAGTGACACCCATCTTTCTCCCCTCCAGATTTTATATCGTCTCCATTATAGGTTCCAATCATCTTTAAAATGAATGAAAAGAACTTAAAAAGCTCCAAACCCGTCTAAAAGATTTAATAACCCATACTTCTATAACATTTCTTTCTTTTGTCTCATATTACCCCACATTGCAGGGAAATATGGGACGGCATTCCGAGGGTTATTGAAAGGTCCCTACTGCACCTAAAAATCTGTAATTTGGTGGGAGTGTAGCCAAAGGGTCAATGAACAAGTGATGAACACCTCAGTACCTCAAAATGAAATTAAAGATTATGAGGAGAGTTTTGTTTAAAGTATTTGTCGCACGTTCGTAGCGAGTTCACCAGTGTGTTCGTTGGTCTTTTGAGGTTCAGTGAGACTTGTCTGGGCGCTCTGGCTTTTGGGGTTGAAGAGCTAGAGCGTGTCCAGTCCAGCGTGTCGTTCGGGGCACAATGGGACGTGTTTTCTAAGGGCTTTCAAGTTTTAGTTGTAGTTTATGTCTAAATGAAGCCAAACCATACGTTAATTATGTTATTCACAAGAATTTTGGCATCAAACATTTCATTTGCGCTTTTTACTGTATTTACACTGCATTTTCTTGTTACACATCATACTCTGGAATTTTTTTACGGCAACCAGGAACGTAAGTTCTTTTTCAAAATAGTTTGTGACGAGATCAAAACCTATTGCCCACATTTTTTGAATGCTCCTTCGCTTATTTTTAGTCCACAAAAGGGTGTGTCCCAATGTGCCCCGAGGCTGTCCCATTGTGCCCCAGCCCGGGGCACAATGGGGCAGGTGACACTTATCGGCAAAATGTCTCCACAGACCAAAAATCCCGTAAAATCAATTTTATGGTCAAATAAAAGTTATAAAAAAATAAACAAAGAACATTTTGAGCTATCGGGCGGCATTCTAGGTCCAACGGTCTCGGATCTAGGCTGTAAACAAAAAAAGCGTCCCATTGTACCCCACCCTCCCTTACCTCCCGTCCCATGCACCGCAGCGTTACGCTAGGAGGAACTTACTTTCTAACTTAGTGTACTCTCTAGGAACGTGACATCACGTTCAAACGAATGTGTCAAAATGTCGCGTTCGTTTGAGGGTTGTGTCACATTCGTTTGAATGCGAATGAGCTGACTTCCGGCTGATTGGCATCCAAATGGATGTGACACAATGCTTCAGGAGGACCCTGGTGAAAAAATCGCCAAAATTGCCATAAATAGTATTTTTAAAGTTCATAGATAAAAATGTGCATAGAAGGTTTCAGATTAAACAGGTTGAACACCTTTAAGCTAAGTGGGTAGTTTCTTTATCATTTAGAAGGAAATAACATTGAGATCAGTTGTCGTTGCCTTCTACTTAACTTCACAGCTTTGCTCAGTCGACAATAAATTTTGTTGTATAAAGACTTCCTGCGTTCCTGGTTGACACCTACGTGAGTCGTCTTGCATGGACTCTATTTGTTGATGACTTGTCGACAAATTTTAGTGACGGAATCTTGATATCAGCCCTACTTTTTTTTACAAACACCTAAAAGTTTGAAAAAAAGGCAAAAAAATCACTTTTTTTCAATGTTAAAATTTGAAAATTTATATCTCAGGACAGAAGTTGAATCTGAAAATTCCGTCACTAAAATCTCTTCAATACATCTTTGGGATAACCCAAAAAATTTTTCAAGACTCTTCGTCTCAATGAAAGACGCAGGAAGATTTTTCCCCAATGCTTTAAAAAACACTAAAAAGCCACTTCTCTCAGAGACCGTTCAACATTTTGGACTGAATTTTGTTTTGGGAACTCTCCATAATGAACCTAATAATTAAGCAAAGTTTCAACTTTCTGGGATTATTTTGAAGCCTACTTGAAAGTTTCACCAGGGTCCCCCTTTAAACAAACGTGACATTTTGTCACATTCTTTCAACGTGACGTCACGTCTCTCGAATGAGAGTGTGCCCACACAGAGAATAACCTGCAAACTATTCAGGCCTTACAAATCAAAGTATTTTGTTATTTCAAAATATTTTGAGCATACATAAGCTCACAAAGAAAATACTTCGTAGATTACGAACTATTTCTTCGTATAATAAAGTGAATTAGCTTGTACTTACGTGTGCTAAAAATGCTTCGTAAGGTTTTAAGGGTGCTGGACCCATACAGTATCGGTCAGGCACGCCGTTCCGAAGTGCCTGACAAGCACACTTTACACTGCAAGAAAAAGTGTGATTAGCACAACAAAAGTACAGCTCAAACTGTACAATTAAAGTACAACAGAGGTTGTATAAAGTAAAACGAGAATTGTACAAACCTCAACGAGGCTTGGACTGCACAGCACTCGTCATGCCGGTCCCATCAAAAGTTAATCAGAAATTTGTGTACTTTTGTTGTTTTTTTCTTGCAATGTTTAACAGTGTGCATGCTGGCTCACATTTCAAATTGTGTGCCATGCTCACCTTGCGCTTGCAGGACTTACCCTCCTTGCCATTGTGCCCACAGCTCCTCTCCCTGCCGGACGACGCGTTGCTGGCCGTGCTGGCCTTCCTGCCCTCCAGGGAGCTCTTCAGCCTTCGCGTCTTGTGCCGCCGCCTCAGAGACATGTGCCTGCACCCCGACCTGTGGCGACGCCGTGCTTTGAGGGACGTAGAGTACTTAGACGGAAACGACTATGAGCAAGAAGTGGGCCTTCTGCGCGCTGTTCTGAGACTGGTCCCCTGCATTGGCAGACTTGCTGGTTGTGTAGAAGATTTTGCATTTATGGTGTCCATGGTACCTACCACTTCGTGTGTAATAGCTGAGCTGGCGTTTACTATTTACGAGAATGAGGCCTTGGCCACAAAGATTCTGCATACAGTACACTCTCTCGGGGGCTTGAAAACGCTCGATGTTTATCTTAACCTTGACTTATCGACGGCGTGTACTGAAGTCTTAAATACCATCTGCAGTCTTCAGGGTTTACGAGAACTCAAGATTTGCTTTGGAGACTCAGAAACGCTCCTGCTCGGCCCATGTCTTGGTTTGGAAGTAGAGCCGTCGCTAACGAAGCTCAGGTACTTCGAAATGATATCCAGCCAACGCTCTGGCGGAGGCTCGGACCCTTTTCTTATTTCGTTCCTGGAAACACATGCTGCTACACTGGAAGAAGTGGATTTACCAGGATTCATTGACGAGGTCGTCTGTTCCTTGTTGGGAAAGTTACCAAAGCTGCGTTCTTTAGCCTGCTCACCGGACCCTGTGGCTTTGGACTTCGTGCGACAGTCGTCGCAGCTCCGCTCAGTGTTGTTTTATACATCTGAGCTCTCTTCCGCCGCACTGCAGGCTCTCACTGAATCGCGCTCTGCCAGTCTTCTTGAAGCTGTAGGCGTGTCTAGCTTGGGTTTTGACCCAGATCTCATGGCTTTGGCTGGTTGCCTGCCCCGGTTCCCTGTGCTCCGTGAGCTGTCACTTAAAGCTGCTCCCACGGTTGACTTTCTGCGGGCGCTGACACCCACGTCCGCGCCCCGCCTCACCAAGCTGTCTCTTCGTTGTGACAAGAAGTGCTTACAGGCTTGGCTGCATGACATCCCCATCCAGGACCTGCTTCAAAGAAACCCTCGGCTTCACTTGCAAGTATGGAAGTCCTACGGTTGTAGTGAAGAGTACGCCTGCCGCTCAAGCACCAGGTGTGACTGTAGTTTCTGCGAGAAGGAGAAGAGCCGTGGCCGTCGTTCGTGGTTCTCATTGCACCGCAGGACGGCTGACTGCCCTCCGGGCTGCTTGCAGGTGGTTCAACTTCCGTGCTCGTCCGCTCTTCCTGCTGATTCCTCCAACCAGCAATAAGCCTCAGCAACCACCATGTTCCGCCGATATTGGTTCGACAGAATTATGAAAAATTCACCGGTTTACATTGAAAATGCATTTGGTTCCATCCAATCGAGTCGTGCCGTGCAGTTTCACCAGGCAGCGTGATATTCTCTAGCGGTCTCTAGACCAACTGCAACTTTTCAATGTTTAAACAAAAGTTCAAAATACTCCTATTTATTTTTACGCTTTGTAGTTTCTGCTGTATATGCTAGGTCTGAACCATAGAGGCGGTTCAAGTTCAAGGTTTTTCAATTGTGCTCAAATGATGTTCAACCTTACCTGACCTATCTAGGTGTAACGCCATTAAATGCATGCATGAACAATTTTGCAAACTTGTGTAGCGAAGCATAGGCACGAAAAACTAAGTAAGGGGTGGTTTTATCGCCCTTATTTGAGGGATGAAGGATACATCTGTTAATCTTTAATCCGAATGTTAGAATCAGCAATAGTAGAAAGAAAAATTAAAGAAATAAAGATTTAAGAATTAATTGTGCTCCTTAATGCGGTAATAAAGCGTACCTCAAACAACATTTGGACAATCCAAGCATTTCCTATTGCCCCAAAATATAAGTCATGATTTTGACTGGTCTAATTCTCAACGTATGAAGCACTCCTGCTGACCGCGCGCGTTGCGCAGACACCGATCAAATTATTGCCAACCCCACACTCTCAGACTGCTATCGACTTCTTGTCCTTTGTTAAAGAGTTTTTTTTACACAGCAATAAACAGTACTATTTCCTCTCCTCAACATCTATGCGAGATTTTGTTCGTTATATTAACCCCAAGTCCATGTGCTATTGACAAAGAGTCAATACCAGTCAATACGCAATAGACTTAAAAAATAGTAAATAACTAATGACAATGTAGTCTTACAGTACAGGGTTACAAAGGAAATACTGCATTTTATTGCTGTAGTGCGGTAGTGGAGTCAAGCATTTTATCGTAGATTTTAGAGCCTGCGTTCTCTTCGTAGTGCGAAACGATTCTTGGCAGACTTCAAACTGTGCATGGGCCTTAGCTGGGACGGCCCGTGCTTCCCTTGGCGTATCGGGCCTCGCCTGTGGCGACGAAGCAGACAATCATTTCGCCGTGCTCGTCGTACAACTGGACCTCCACGGGCCAGATGTACTTGTAGAGCTTGTCCGGCATCAGCGCCATGGCGGCGTCCACGTCCACGGTGGCGTTGCGAACGAGGAAGTGTCCCTGGGGCATGGCAAGCACGCGTTAGACCCTCCACACTGGGCCAGAAGACCGGGCACGACGGCCAAAGCTCTAGTCGCGGTTTGAGCTCCAGAGTCATTCAATAGGACTCGACCACTCTCAGCACGTTACTGACTCTTTCCTCATTAATTACGTATTCGTTTAAACGGCAATAATATTTAGTAGTCAAGTAAGTATGGCCAATGTCCTTTAAAAAATTATGTACAAATCAAAATTCTCAGTTCATTTTCCTAAGTAGTTCTTAAAAGAGGGATTAGTACGTATTATAGTTGCACAAATTACGTGCTTAAGTATACTGACAAAATGATCAAAAAGTCAAATACGTGCTGAGTGATCTGAGTGTGTGGTCCCACCAAAGCATTCCTCGTTTGAAGTGCAAGGGCCTCACGTTCGGTCCTATTCTCATCACGCGACTCGAGAGCCTGAAAGGCGTCTAAGATTTTGACCACCTTCACCGGTCTTCTGACATACTAAGCCTCGATCAATAAATTGGGATATCCCGGGAAGTGAGACTCGAAGTTCCTTCAGGAATTTCCGATCTACCGGTCCTACTGTCTAAATCGTCATCGTCATTAACCAGGTACTATTGCCTTTAAATTTCTTCTTAGATATGCGTAATTTACTGCATTCAACTATTTGGGAGTTTTTTGGTCAAAGTCTAATAAAAAGTGTAAAAATTAATTTCAAAAGCGAAAAGTACTTACTGTTGCACAAATTACTAGAGGGTGCTACTGACTAAATGTCAATACCATTTACTTAAAGTCAACAGCGAGTCTGAGAGTGTAGCTGCGTTTTCTTAGTGCGTACGTGCACTTACTGGCGGCACAGGGCAGGTGTACGGCGGCTCGAACGTGTCGTATATCGGACTCCATATCATGCCTCTGGTCGGAATCAAACGACAGATGGCTGCGGTCCAGACCCAGCGAAGGTAATACTCGCACAGATTGGGCGACTTTGCCCCTGTGCACTTCGTAATGATGACGACGAACTGAAGATGGAATACTCAAATTTATACCTCACACTGGTAAAACAAAGACATAAAAATTATGTCCTTAAGGGCATAAATACTCTTTTACGCCCTTCCGAAGGGCTAAATGGTATAGGAATTTCAAGCAAAATTTTAATGCCCTTTCTTCAGGCATTTACGATTTATGCTTTATCAGGGCGTAAATCGTTAACGCGCCCTTAAAGGGCATAATTTTAATGCATTTGTTTCACCAGTGCACCGAAAGGATGAACTGTTGAGACAATGACAAGCGTGCACCCTTATGTTAAATCTAAGATTCTCCAGTGTCCGGTTCCATTGTTCTTCGAACAACAATTATTGTATCGTGCGAAAGTTCAACCCATCGCTTTTACGTAGGAAAATTAGCCAGGAATTGAAATTTCTTCTAGCTGAGCAGTAAGTAATTGCTTTACATTGGCAGGAAAAAGTTAAAAAAGAATACGAATTAAAACAGGCCAACAATTTACCTGCCAAAATCAGAACTTTGGCCCTTTCTTTTGCCGTGCCCGTTCATACACAACCGTTCATATTGAACATGTTCTTTAGTCCGCTTGTCCCTACCTCGGTTCTAAACATGTTTCGTAGAAATGTACGCAATTTATTTTAATGTGTACCTTGGATGTGTTTTTCATTCCTTTCCGGAACAAAATGTCGGCTGTGACGTAGTTTGCGCCCCACTCGTCCATGATGGTGGTCACGTTGTAGATCTCGATGTGGTGCTTCTTGTCCGTGCAGACCCCGACGTCGTATATTACCGGAATAGCTTTAGGCTTCTGTATAGCAGCAACACACTGATCACCTTACAAACTATTGCAGCCTTAGGGCTTCAAAAGTTTGGAAGGTTATCGTAATGAAGAAAAAAGAGTAGCTTGATGTTAAAAAGTATTTTGAGCTTTCGTCAGGTTTCAAAGAAAATAGTTCGTAATTCACGAAGTATTTCTTCGTATTAGAAAGTAAATTAGACTGTTCCACGTTTGCTCCAAATAATCCGTCAGGTGTTAAGCGTGAAAATATTAACCCTTCATTGACGAGTTTCATGCCCGAAAAGGTGACCGGTGGTCAAAAGCAACAGATTCGGAAAAAAAAACAAAGGGAAAAAAAGACGCTCTGGATGAGGCTTAAATTAAAAGTTAAGTGTTCATTTATATCCTGCATGTGTTGTTACTTAGCGTAAAAACAATTGTTTTGTTTATTTCACACAATTAATGCTACAAGAAATTTCATGTTCCAAATCTTTTATCTCAATATCACTATAATCTCAATTTTTGTGATGTCTTGTATACTTTAAGAATACTAAGAACACTTCACTCAAAATTCCTTCTTGTCACATCAAGGTCATGGGGGGTCACTAATGCTAAGTGAGTCCAAATTTTTTTCCCATTTAGCATCTTACTTTACGTTAACATGACCTTTTTCTCCTCTCAGGGCACTTACTCCGAGGGGTGAATCACTCAGCGTTCTGGTGTACACTTGAGTGCGGGTGAGGACACCTTGGTTTACTTATAAATTTTACAAGGTAGGTTTACGCCAGACCGCGTCTTGTCGTAACAGGCTTCGCGATGTCTCGCGGCCTGTTCCTCCAATCCGCGCCTGGCGTACCTACCTTTGGCCTGCGGCGCTAGCCTGCCTTCGGCAGGCATTGGCTTGTCCATCATCGGTTACTTCTTACTTGTTTCATGCTGGGGGCGGGACCCCCTTCATTCCAGATAGAGTTGCTTCATCTACAGATAACACGATCTTGACCCTTGAAACTTTTTAACTTGTTGGGACTGGGGGGCTCCGCCCCCCAGATCCCCCTTTCTATAAAACAGAAGTGATCTGCCTGCAGAAGACTCAATTTTTCGCCGTTTTTTAGGTGTTTTTCGCCTATAAAAACTAAACCACGTGAGCTACGATAGTGAAATTTCGCGTGTGCCGAGCCAAGAACATACCTAATAAGCCTGCAAAATCTCAGCCAGATCGGCCGAGCCGTTCAGGAGGAGTAGTGTACACACACAGACAGACAGACAGACAGACACACAGACAGACAGACAAAACTTTTCAACCGCACTAGAGTAACGGGCTTCGCTATCGCTCAGCCAACAATTTAAATCGTTTTGAGGCCTTATTTAGCGTTTTTAACGGCACTCAATGTTAAGTCGGTTGAAAAACTAGAGAATTTCGCCCTTTTTGGCTGAGCGTTAGCGAAGCCTGTTACTCCAGTGCGGTTGAAAAGTTTTGTCTGTCTGTCTGTGTGTCTGTCTGTCTGTCTGTCTGTGTGTGTACACTACTCCTCCTGAACGGCTCGGCCGATCTGGCTGAGATTTTGCAGGCTTATTAGGTATGTTCTTGGCTCGGCACACGCGAAATTTCACTATCGTAGCTCACGTGGTTTAGTTTTTATAGGCGAAAAACACCTAAAAAACGGCGAAAAATTGAGTCTTCTGCAGGCAGATCACTTCTGTTTTATAGAAAGGGGGATCTGGGGGGCGGAGCCCCCCAGTCCCAACAAGTTAAAAAGTTTCAAGGGTCAAGATCGTGTTATCTGTAGATGAAGCAACTCTATCTGGAATGAAGGGGGTCCCGCCCCCAGCATGAAACAAGTAAGAAGTAACCGATGATGGACAAGCCAATGCCTGCCGAAGGCAGGCTAGCGCCGCAGGCCAAGGTAGGTACGCCAGGCGCGGATTGGAGGAACAGGCCGCGAGACATCGCGAAGCCTGTTACGACAAGACGCGGTCTGGCGTAAACCTACCTTGTTAAACTTGTGAGTACATTGAGTACGGGCAATTTTGTACACATGAGTACACTAGTGATTCACCCCTCGACTTACTCGCGCTGTTGACCGAGAGTAGATGCCACTCATCAGCGTTAAAAGGAGGATCTTCAAAATCAAGACGCCCGACGCACATCTTAGCGGCATGTCTGAAACTAATGTGGTCATACATGGATAAAACAATTAACTATATATCATCAATACGGTGAAAACTGTTCCTGGTTTTCCCAGAAACTCCCTGGAAGTCGCCTATGTCTTCACCTCAGGCTTCCTGGGAAAACCAGGTACCGTTTTTGCTGTGAGCGCTTTTCAGGCGATGGATGCGAACGCACCTAGGTTTCGGACTAAGACCTAACTTGGGCACCGTAGTCCGTCTACAGGAGCCAACGGAATGGTTCTATGGTGTGCCGTCAAATGGACGTCCCTGTGGCACGCAGAGACACTGCGATCATCTCGGCGCTTCCTGCCATTTGATCGACCATTCGCATGCCGTATCTTGCAGTCGTGTCGTACGTCCCTCGTCAACAGCTTGCATTTATCGTCGTGAACAGACAGGACCCGAGACGATTTCTATCTGTTTTGAGTGTGCGACGGTCACACAGTGGGCCAGAAGACCGGTGGAGGCGGCCAAAACTCTAGACGCGTTTTAAGCTTCAGAGTCGCCAAACAGGCCTCAAACCGAACGTGTGACACCATCAATGGATTGATCTCCGAACGAGGAATCCATTGGTGGGGTCACACGTTCGGTTCGAGTCCCATTTAGCGACTCTGGAGCTCAAAACGCGTTCAGAGTTTTGGCCGCCTCCGCCGGTCTTCTGGCCCACTGTGGGTCAGTTTCGTCTTTGCCCACACTGTAAATCCAAAGGCAATACTTTTGGTACCTTCTTTGGCGATACAATTAAGTATCGCCCATAAACGGCCTTATGGAAAAGTATTGCCTTCAAAACGGCGATACACAAAAGTATCGCCAAAATTTGGCGATACTTCGGAGTATTGCCATAATGTGGCAGTAAACGTTGAACAAATCAAGGGGACAAGTTCTTAGTTCAATGCCGTGGTTGTGGCAATACCAAAAAGTATCGCCAAATTTTGGCGATACTTCTGTGTATCGCCGTTCTGATGGCAATACTTTTCCGTAAGGCCGTTTATTGGCGATACACAATTGTATCGCCGAAAAATGGACTTAAGTATCGCCTTTGCATTTGCAGGGCAAGGCTATTTCGACAGTTGCTGGATCTTCTCGTTGCCTTAGGAAATAAACAAGGTAGGTTTACGCCAGACCGCGTCTTGTCGTAACAGGCTTCGCGATGTCTCGCGGCCTGTTCCTCCAATCCGCGCCTGGCGTACCTACCTTGGCCTGCGGCGCTAGCCTGCCTTCGGCAGGCATTGGCTTGTCCATCGTCGGTTACTTCTTACGTGCTTCATACCCCCCTTAATTCTAGATAGAGTTGCTTCATCTACAGATTGCACGATCTTGACCCTTGTAACTTTTTTAACTAGTCGAGGCTGGGGGGGCTCCGCCCCCAGACCCCCCTTTTCTTGGAGACAGAGGTGATCTACCTGCAAAAAACTCGATTTTTCGCCGTTTTTTAGGTGTTTTTCGGCTATAAAAACTGAACCAGTTGAGCTAGGATAGTGAAATTTCGCGTGTGCCGAGCCAAGGACATACCCAAAAAGTGTGCAAAATCTCATTGAGATCGGCCGAGCCGTTCAGGAGGAGTAGTGCGGACACACAGACAGACAGACAGACAGACAGACAAACAGACAGACAGGAAAAACTTTTCAACCCCACTGGAGTAACAGGCTTCGCTATCGCTCAGCCAATTATTACAATGTAGTCTCGGTTTGAGTTTCATTAAATGCAGCGCTGGTATGTTACGAAGTGACGTATCTTCTCGATGCGGATTGGTTTTTCCTCTCATTTGTTTGACAATAGAAACAAAAACCTGCGTAACACGAGGAATCCGCAGACTTACGCTGTGAGGCGCCCATGTACGTATCCCTCAGCGGAACGTTCCTCAAAATTTCACTTCTCTACGCGATTATGACCCTTAGGCCTATTTACCGTCTAAAGAAATGTGATTCCATATTTCATGTGTCAAGCGTCATGTTACGCTGGTTCGGTTAAGAATTTTCCGTATCTTTTGATGATTTAAATTCATGTTCCAATGTCTGTTTGGCAGATTTTAGAAACAGTCACACTGTTACGATCTAAACGAACGGAAGTGGCGTGCTTAACTGACACATCAGCCTGCTCCAAATGTGTCCTTATCATTTGCATGCTATTGCAATCTAGCAACACCCATCAAACTTTTCAGGTGCCGTTTTCGATGCTGGCCAGCCTAACGTCACGGTTATCAGCTTAAGTGTTACGGAACGTAGCGAAAGAAAAGAGAGTCGGGTAAGGTTCATTTAGAAATTTTGCGAAATGTTACGCAGAGCGGTGGGTGGGTAGCCTGGGCCAGCGTAACGTTACTTTTAACGGGCGGACGGAGAGGTTTTTGAGATTTTACAACCTTTCCTAGTTACTGGGCGTATGAACGGCTATTAAATCCAGTTCTCACGTGTCACGAACTCATCACGACTCGGTGATGAAAGTGCGCTTTCCGTTTCTGTGTTACAATCTGTCCCGGAATAAGCAGAATGAAAATGAATGTTTGATATTACCAAGGGGGAAAACCTTGAATTTTAATGTTCAAAGTCACTGAATTCCATGAGATGATTTTCAAGGGATTGGAATCATGTTTCCATGACAGTCGATTTGTATTTCACTGTTTTTTTATTTCAAGAATTTCTTTGTATTTCGACTAGACTGCGTGAGGACATTCGTCTTTAACTGTCTATAACCGCTGACTGAATTTGAGCGTACCCACTAGTATTTGACAGTATCTGTTACAAGTGTCTACCGCGGATGATAAGGTCTGCCGCGTACTAATTCGCAGCAAATGTTGCTCAACGGAACACATTTCTGACTTTTATTTTCATTCTTCCTAGGAGATCGGTGGAGGCGGTCGAAACTCTAGACGCGTTTTGAGCTCCTGAGTCGCCATACAGGACTTGAAGCGGACGAGTGACGCTTCCAATGGATTTCTCGTTCGGAGTGCAGTCCATTGGTAGGGCCACACGATCGGTTCAAGTCCCATTCAGCGACTTTACACTGTGGCAAAAAACTGAGGAAAGTTCTGTGAACAGGTTGAGGTAATTCTCCGTAGCCTCCTTGTTGAAGTTCTCCGTAGGACCTTGCAGGGTTCTCCGTTCAACTATACAGTCTTCCAGGTTCGAGAAGACCGTACGGTCCTACGATGAATGCTGTATTATCTTACGGATAATATTGGTACGCGAGGGCCATAAGAAGAATCTTGGCTAAAAATTAACAGAATTTTTCGTACCCTTTTGCCATAGTGTGGAGCTCAAAACGCGTCATAAGTTTTTACCTCCTCTACCGCTCATCTGGCTCACTGTGTGTGTTCACCGTATGCTACGATCTCAACCTTATGTTTTGTCCCCTTTACAGTGTGAGTGATCCACGTGCATCCTGCCCCCGGTTTCCGTGTCAGACGGACGCCCCTCGCTAGAGCATCGACAGTTGACTAGTGCTGCGTACCATGGCTGGCGCGCGGAAAGGAAAGAAGAAGGGCGCCAAGGCGGCTCAGGACGCTCCAGTGGCAGCCTCTGCCAAGGGCAAGGCGGCCAGGGCTCAGGAAGGCACACCGCCGAAAGAGCAGCTTCACGACGGGTAAGTACACTGGTAGTTAAAGCGATCCCGCCCGACTAGATGAACCGATTGCAAGGGGATATTACTGCAGTTACTGTAGTAACTGTCTTACAGTACAGTACTGTTGGAAGTAATGTTGTAGTTAAGCAGCAAATATGTTGCTAATTTTCTGCATGACCGAAAGTTGTTTGCAGATGACTTAATTTGTTTACTCATGACTTGCGTTGTTCATCAACAAGACGTTTGTAAACCAGCTGAAGTATACAGCCTTATGAGCATCAATTTTGATTGCTGATTTAGTCAGACCCAGTAAAGTCCCTCCTAGTGACCCGCAGTAGTCAGTGCTTAGACTGTCCGGGTTGTTTGTACGCAGCAAAAGATTGTTCTAAAACAGCGTAGAGTTATGTTTTAGTTTAAGCATTGTAACCGCCAAATTTCCTTGTGTTCTTTTTCCACTGTACACACTGTAAGGTCGGGTTTAGTGGCCTGACTAAGTCGAGTTAGGGTCCCGTCCTGACTAAGGTGTTGGTGGCCTGACTAAGGCTCAGGGGTTGGTCAGGCCGGATTATAGCCGGCCGTTGATGAGGGTTTGACAGGTCCCGGTGGCTCGCTCCGGCGTCGCAAAAGAATTAGTAGAATCGGACTCGAACCTTGGCTTAGAGCAAAATCAACTAAGACGGACCACTTCTTCCGGTGACCCTCTCCGATTTGCCTGATTGTTTGTAGGCTTAAAAACTCACTAAAGGAGAGTCTAAAGCCAAAATATTAGGTCCGGCAAAAATTTATTGCCCGAGATATGGCCAACTTTAGTTTAACTTTTGAAGAAAAAACACGAATTTGGGTATTTTGGACTAATTTTACACTTTTCATAGTAGAGGGTTAAAATTTGGTCAGTTTATGTAAAATTGGCCAAGGAACAAGAATATGGCCTCAGATTTGACCTCCGACGAATACTTACAGAGTAAACCCCCCAAAACACCCTAAAAACACACAAAAAAACCGTTTTTTCTTGGGGTTTCTGGGAAAAATATGTGGTCAAAAATTTCCGATGAACTTATCTTGTAGAAAATGACACGATGAATCGAATGAGACCACGCGCAGATTTTTATGTCAAACCGTTTAGGAGATATAGCGGTTCAAAGTATGGACATTTTGCCATTTATTTTTTTAAAAATGCAGGTTTTGAGCATAGTTTGACGTTTTTTGCCTCCTTGGTGCGTGTTGGTGTTCTTATCTCGTGGGAAAAGACGCGCTGAATCGAATGAGACCACGCACAGAGTTGTATCTCAAACCGTTTAGGAGATATAGTGGTTTAAAGTATGGGCACGGGAGAGCTCCTGCAAACACCCGACAAGGCAGAGCCGCCAATCACGCCTGTTGGGCGGGCGGACTACAGTGCCCATACTTTAAACCACTATATCTCCTAAACGGTTTGAGATACAACTCTATGCGTGGTCTCATTCGATTCAGCGCGTCTTTTTCCACGAGATAAGAACACCAACACGCTCCAAGGAGGCAAAAAACGTCAAACTATGCTCAAAACCTGCATTTTAAAAAAAATAAATGGCAAAATTTTCATACTTTGAACCGCTATATCTCCTAAACGGTTTGACATAAAAATCTGCGCGTGGTCTCATTCGATTCATCGTGTCATTTTCTACACGATAAGATCATCGGAAATTTTTGTCCACATATTTTTCCCAGAAACCCCAAGAAAAAACGTTTTTTTTAATGTGTTTTTAGGCTGTTTTGGGGGGTTTACTCTTTAAGTATTCGTCGGAGGTCAAATCTGAGGCCATATTCTTGTTCCTTGGCCAATTTTACATAAACTGACCAAATTTTAACCCTCTACTATGAAAAGTGTAAAATTAGTCCAAAATACCCAAATTCGTGTTTTTCTTCAAAAGTTAAACTATAGTTGGCCATATCTCGCGCAATAAATTTTTGCCGGACCTAATATTTTGGCTTTAGACTCTCCTTTAGTGAGTTATTAAGCCTACAAAAAATCAGGCAAATCGGAGAGGGTCACCGGAAGAAGTGGTCCGTCTTAGTTGATTTTGCTCTTACAGTTTGAAGGCAGTGGACAGTACCACTACGCCACGAGGCTCGCTGAGGAGGGAGCGATCCTGGAGCAGTCTCTAGCCGGGCACTGCCGGCCTCCACCCGGCCGGTCGGGGTTCCCCCACCACCCCCACCCAGGCATGCCGCCACGCTCCGCCACGCCGCCGTGGAGGTGCAGGTAGCCGAGGCCAGGCCCTCTGGCCTGACTAAGAACCTCGCCTTAGTCAGACGAGCCAGGACCCTTTTCCTTAGTCAGGCCACTAACTCCGACCTAACAGTGCACTTGAAATCTTACGCGAAATCGGTTGAAATCCCGTGAAATCCCTTCAAAATGTGGTGAAATGTCGCATACGTAGCACTGTTAAAAAAATTCTGAAAATTCAGACCAATTTTGTCAGACTTAGCGGTCTGAATCTGTAAATCAGACTTAATTCTGAAAAATCAGAGTTTTTGTCTTAGTTCTTAAACGCTTTGTCTGAAAGCTTGGTTCAGACTCGAAGTGTCTTAATATTTGTACTCATTCTCAAAATTCATATGAACTTGCGTCAGACTTTTCAGACCTCAAGAGTCTGAATTTCGGATTCAGACTACTTTCTGAAATATGTTCAAACATAAGAGAAAATTGGACAACTTTCTTCCAACCTAACATTGGGTTAACTCACAATCAGTCTTACATTCAATTTAATCCGACTCCGTTTCGGGGACTTCAGACAAAACGAAAGCATTTTTCTCTCCGCTAGGTATGGCGCCAGTGTCGGTAAAGAGCCTGCTGTTGTTAAAAACGTTTTATTCTGTTAAATTTTTAATATTTTTAACCCGAAATGGCCATTACTCTATTGGCTATGACGAAACACACGCTCCCATACCAAATTTATATCTGTAGCAAACGCGCGAGTTTAACAATTGACATTTGAAGTTACCTCTCGCGGTTGGCTCCGTGCCGTCGTTCCCTAGGGTGCGTCATGCCAGCTCCAGATGAGTGCAGGGAAGAGTCTCACATCGGGGACATTGCCCTACACTCAATTTTTTACCTAGACGGTTCCTTGGAGTACGTCTCTCCTTTGAGGTTCGGATGCGAACATTATCATTTCACCGAATTTCGGGAAAATTTTCTGCTGCCACTTTCAGACAAAACAATCTAGTAATTGAGACAATTTTGTCTGAATTTTTCAGACTACGACCTGTCTGAAAGGTTAAGACTTGTGTAAGTCTGAAAATTTCAGACCAGGATTTAGTCTGAATTTTCAGTAGGATGTTCTGCATATTTACTTCAGTCAAAAAAGTCTGAATTTTCAGCAAAATTTTTTAACAGTGAGTATCAACTCATTCAGTTGTTTGTCAGACGAAGAAATAGTTAGCAAATTCAAGCCTATGTCTGCTCAAAACACTAAAGTATTTTGTCATGACGAGCTACGTCTCTTTGTGAGGTCGAAAATAGTTGGTAAGGTTTTCTCAGTGAGTGTGTATCCACAGTGCAAGTTCGCACCTTGAACTTTCGCGCCAAGCGCCAATACCCCGCTCAAATTCTCTGCAGGAATTCTGCACAAAAAACTTGTATGTGGTTGCCCTCTCTGGAAAATTTCTTCGTAAGACACAGAGAGTGAATGCAGTTTTTGTTCGCCTAGGCCGTCCTTGGCCGTGCTGCCGGACGCCGTGCTGCTGCAGATTCTGTCCTGGCTGCCCGTCGAGGACCTGCTGAGGGCGGCGCGGGTGTGTCGCCGCTGGAGGAAGCTGACAGCGCGACCCGAGGCGTGGCGGCACGCGGACGTGGTGATGACGTCATCGACCTGCAAGAAGCAGGTAAGTTGAGCACGGGATGATGATGTTCAATTTTGTACACCCTTAAAACCTTACAAAGTATTTCGAGCATACAAGCTTTAGGGGGCTCATCCATGTTAAAAGCACTTTGTAAAAAAAAATTTGATGTAGACGGATCAAGGTTTTACAACTTCTGTGTTAAAACCCTATTAGATAATTGAGTAAGCTTCATTTCGGCTTGAAGTGAAGTGACTTTGGACATTTTTTGGAAATTCAGTCAAAACGTTTAAAATTTTGGTTCTCGTAAGATTTTGTTCCCATACTTGCTTAGATCTCTGGGGGGGGAAAATCAGGGAGACTCATCCCTAGTAGTGTCAAAGAATTGACTAGAAGGGGCTTTTTATCTGCAATAGTTTTCAAGAATAAAAAATGTAAAAAAATTACAACAGTTTTTTTAAACAAACTTTCGAAGAAAAAAAATATTTTTATTCATTTCTTGAAAACTATTGCAGATAAAAAGCCCATTCTAGTCAATTCTATGATACAACTAGGGATGAGTCTCCCTGTCCCTCCCCCCTCCCCATCTGAGTATTTTGAGCATACATAAGTACAAACTAATTTACTTCGTCATACGAAGAAATAGTTCGTAAATTACTATGTATTTTGCTTGTAAGCTTATGTATGCTCAAAATACTTTGTTATAGGAAACTGCTTTGTTTCGTAAGGCCTGAAATAGTGTGTAACGTTTTCTCAGGGTAAGTGGTGCTACACATTTGGTTCTCCAACCCCGCGGTGCCTGTTTCCAGGTGTGGCTGCTGGAGCGCGCGCCGCAGCTGCGCTTGCTGGACATGAGCGGCCTGGCCACGGCCGACGACTGGGGCTTCGAGCACGACGAGGCAGTGTGGGACGCGTGGGAGCGCCTCGACTGCATGGACTGCCCGGCCAGGCAGCTCGACATCCGCGTGGAGCGGGACGGCTGTGCCAAGATCGGACTGCTGGAGAAGTAAGTAGCGTTGTACTTTGCAGTTTCATTACGCACTTTTAAGTCCGAAATCTTCGATTGGTGACCCACTACCCACTGTAAAACTTTCTTCTCATCGCTTGTGGAAATGATTGAGAGTGAGCTCGTTCAGCCGGTTACTGACTATGTTTGATCGTCAAGTACGAATTCGTTTAGGCAAGAATAACTATTTTTAAATTCAGCATGAGTAATTTCCCAGATAAAGTGGGATAAATATATAAATGAAGTTAATAGATTGTCGTTACTTTATTCATCAATTATTAATTATTAATTCTTTGAGAAATGTAAAGTTCATGTAATATGTTCACACTCAATTACCATGTACACTCAAAATGCTTATGAACTTCATGTCCATAACTACGGCCGTCTTTTGTGCATACTTAAGTTATGTTCAAATTTGTACTTAAATGAGATACGTACAGTTTTGTGAATACTTCAGCTCAAAAAAGAAATATTGTCCCTCATGGCGCTCCTGCAAAAAAATTTTTAATTTCAAACTGCTCTTCAACTGTTCTTGCGCAGATGGGGCCCGAAGCTGGAGAGGCTCAAGCTGCGCCTGGGCACCTGGTTCAGCCAGTTCGGTCGCGAGCGCGGACAGCTCCACGTCGCCATCAAGGAAGTCGGCAAGATGGACCTGCTGACCCACCTGGACCTGACGTACGAGCTGCACAAGGGGGCGCACGGCGGCTACGACAAGGAGCTGGGCAAGGGATGCCCCTCCCTGGTGTCCTTCACTTTCCACTTCCCCACCGTGCAGGACTACAAGCACTGGAAGGAGGTGGGTACACCGTGCAGTCATCGCTCCCCGTTCTGTTATCTGCCCAACGAAATATTTAAACGGGTGGCACATTGACCACATTGCTGTTACTGCCGTTGGTAGTCACCCCTGAGCCACCCCCTATCCCTTTTGCACAACTTTGTTTCTCTCTCTACACTGTTAGTAAATGTTGTAAATTAACGACATTTTTTGCTAATTATTTTTTTAATCACATATTGTTATATTACAAACATGTTGTAGCACTCTGTGCTGTTTTCTGATGAATCGATTGTTGTAAAACATCACTTCCATCGAGTCTTCGATTTTGACTTGGCTAGATTTGGGTTGGCCTTATCTTGCTGTAATTTAACAAGATCCCTATAGGATGTTGTGTTGTAATATTACAGTGGATTTTTAACTGTGTACACTCCACACAATTACCAAATTGGCTTTGTGACTCCTAGGATTTCCTAAAATCGTATTTTTAAGTTGGTCTACCTACTTTTTCCTGAGAAAGCGTTCTATTTGTGCGTTACGAAAAAAAAGTCAGAAAAGATTTGGAACATAATCGAACGAAGCTCGTATGCCCTCGCTCAAGTTTACAGGTATCCAAGGGAAACTACCGAGACAGCCTAATTTGTACACCAAATATTTTTCAAAATGTCACAAATACGGAAATTGTCTATTTTGTTTTCCAAAGTTTTTCAGTTTTGGCCCGAAGTCACTCTGATTTCTTCACTGTAATTCACGCCCCCCCCCCTCCCCTCCCCCTTGCCATATTCACTGCTAGACCTTTGGAGCGGCTCCAGATGCTGATGGTTGGATGGCGTGCTGCAGGTGGTGCTGGACGTGCTGACCCACAAGAGCGGCCAGCTGACGGAGCTGGCGCTGCTGGCCTCGGACAAGTGCCCCGAGGTGCCCGCCGAGCTGTGGCCTGCCATCGGCCGGTGCACGCAGCTGCGCCGCCTCGCCGTGCCGACGCCGCCGGGCCTGGCCGTGGTCGGGCAACTGCCGCTGCTCCGGGACTTGTCGCTGCAGCCGTCCAAGAACGCGTCCCTGCCGAGGAAGACCCGCGAGGCGCTGCTGTCGGGGCACGCCGTGCTCGGGGCACTGCAGCGGCTGGAACTGCAGTTGCCGCCCCCCATGCGGGGATCCGCGGACCGCATGGCTGCCTTGCTGGATGAGCTGCTGAGCAGTGAGTGGCGTACTTGAATTACCTTGAGTGGGTTCAACTTTCACTGGTAAAACTAAAGCGTAATATTACCCTCTATTTTCAAGCGTAATCAGGTTACGCTTGAAATCAAGCGTAACAGGCTCATCCGCCAAGATCCCCCCACATCTAAAAGCATGGGGAAATTTCTAGAGTATGCTTCATTTCAAGCGTAACGTCTTCAAACTTAACTTCACGCTTCACTCAACCATGGAGTTACGCTTTAGTTTTACCAGTGTTCCTTGAGTGGATGCCACAATTGTAGACGAGAACTCAAACGTGCAGCAGCAATGCAGTGGAGGGGTGACCCTTCGCGATTGTTGGAATGAGTTAGCGTATGCATGTTTTCTCCCATATTTTCAACACATCCTGCCTGCTTACAGGCGTGTTGCCGGTTAATGAATTCAAATTTTGTGAAATGATCGAATGGAAAAAGTGTTTCCCCTCGAGTGTAGTGCCATTTTTCTTTCCCATGAAGTATCTTGCTAATGTTCTGTTTTGTGTCAGAGGCAAGGGGAAATAATCCAGCCAAATATGTACACTGCAATTCACCAAACATGTATAATGCACTGAAATTCGTATGAAGTTATTAAAATTTATAGAAATTAGGGATTAAAATTCGTTTTACTTCGACTGAATTAATCGAAAATTAACAGCAGTTCATTGAAATTCGACTGAAATTCGTCGATATTCGTCTAAAATTCATCGATATTCAACTGCAATTCATTGGATTCGTGCTCCGAAATTCACATTGATTTCCCCTCGGTCATCCAATGGGAAATAGTTTTAGAGTTGCGTGTCTAAGCTGGTGCTCCTTTGTCGGCAGGGATTTGCAGCGAGGTGCGCTGCCTGAGCCTGACTGGAGGCTGCTACCCCGCCGCCGTGATGGCCGGCCTGCTGAAGGACGTCACCAGGATGCCCGCTTTGACCGAGCTCCGCCTGTGTGCTGTCAAAGACATCGAGTCGGAGCACCTGGGCCAGTTGGCTGCCTCAGGCCGCTTGAAGGTGAGTTGGTTTCTCTGTCCGCTGCACTGTGGGCCAGAAGACCGGTGGAGGCGGCCAAAACTCTGGACGCGTTTTGAGCTCCCGAGTCGCTAAATGGCACTCGAATTGAACGTGTGACCCCACCAATGGATTCCTCGTTCGGAGAGCAATCCATTGGTGGGGTCACACGTCCGGTTCGAGTCCTATTAAGCGACTCTGGAGCTCTAAACGCGTTTGGGATATTGACCGCCTCCGCTGATCTGCTGGCTCATTTGTGCGATGTGTTGGGGACGTCCACCGTTGGAGAACAGTTTGTTTTGCTCCCTAGCTTTCTTGTTCGGGTTTGCCTAAAATTTTGAACCATTTCTATGCTATCCTTGAGGCGTACCTACCTACCAGTCCTTTGCAATTAGGTTCGGGACATAACGTAGGTTAGGAATCGTACCCTTCAAGTTAACATGCTCCCGAGGGAGCTCATCTCTGAAGACATCCCACCTCAAATTCTTTTTTAATGAAAAAAGAAATTGTCTCCGCCTGTTGTTTTGTGATACCTCTCCCTGATCTCTCGTTACTTTCCAGGTGGTTTGTCTCAAAGACATCTCGATGAAGTTGGAAGCTTCGCTGGAGTCGTCATTGAGCGCGTTGGGCCGCTCCCTGCACCTCAAGATCCACTAGAGTCGACCAGGAATCTCCTCTCCCACTCTTGTTTTTTTTCTGACTGATTATGTTAAGTAATGTCACTTTTCAAACAATTGTGACCTCCAACTCGGCGCTTTGGGCCTCAATGGCGATTCCAATTTAGTGTGGAAGTGTTAACATTCTTTCTGTTTATCTTGTTAATTTTTGTTTTAGCTATGTTGATTTTAGACTGAATTTATCATCGTTTTGTGTTGTTTGTTTTTTAAGTCTGATTAATTTTAATGGTGTGACAAGATCTTTGGATCTTTTACCAGCCAGTGTACTTTTAATCATGCTGTAACTTTTACTTGTAAATACAGCTTTTTTAGCAATGCGTATCTGGTGTTTCCTTTAGCGCCTCCTTAATCTTGCCACAGGCTATGGTACTAATTATGTTTGATGCAGCTTAGTAAGCAAACGCTTTGCAGGCATTAGGCATTCTCTTCTTCATTTCCATGGAATTGAATAAAACTTAAGTGTCTCAAGCTACTCCACGCATGAATCACTTCCTTTAGAAGTCAGTTTACAAAGTTGTGTGATGGGTTGACCTGAAATCCACCGCAACATTCAGGACGGTGGTCAAGTAGTCCTTTGGTGCACGCTTAAAACCTGACAAAGTATTTTGACTTACATAGTACAAACTATGTACTTGTTATACGAAGAAGTACATAGCTCGTTAATTATGAAGTATTTTCTTTCTGAGCTTATGTATGCTCAAAATACTTTGTTGTAACAAGGTGCTTTTCTTTGTAAGGCCTAGAGTAGTAAATAAGGTTTTCGCAGTGCAAGTATTTTCTTTCTAAGCGTATGAATGCTCTAAATACTTTGCTGTAACAAGCTGCTATTCTTCGTAAGGCCTAAAACAGTTTGTAAGGTTTTCAAAGTGTGATAATGGCAACATCAAAGTCGGAGCACAGTTCAAGGCGATCCTTCCATGGCCAGTTCACACCCGTCAAACAGTGATTTAGTCTCGCTCTGTCATTTCGAGTGTACAAGTGCTTCGGAGAGGCGCGCCAAATATTGTGGGCTCTGGGCGGGATTCCCCGGGCCAAGTGACGCCTGTCACGACGGCTCTCCGAGGAGCCGCAGACTCCAGTCGTTGTCTGCGGACTGCCCACGGAAGTCGCACTTTCAGGACTCTGACACTGTGAGTACGGCAGCACTGGCGAGGAATTCAGCATTCAAAATGTCTTACGAAGAAATTTACCATAATGTGAGGGAAATAGCGCAAGCATATTGCGAACTTCGCATTATAAATAATAATATAAAATAATAATGTAAATAGCGCTAGAATAATCCGAAGGTGATTTTTCTTCGCCTTACGACGGCTTTTCCTTGTAGCTTACAATGAAAGTGACAAAAAGATTCGTATTATGAAGAAATATCGCTTTCGTATCATTCTTGCGCCGAATTCTGTTACAGCTAAAATTTCATTGTGAGACATTTAGAGTGAGGGCTTGTGGCCGACTTGCAGGGGCAGTATATGCTTGATGCACCTTTCAGGCGACATGTCTGTGAAGGTGATCCCACAGTGGGTCGGTCGGTCAGATGGAACATCACCAACCGGTGGTGGCTTTGTCGGCAAGAGGAGGAATAGAAGGAGCAATAGAAGAACGATTCCCAGCCGCTTGTTTATTTTCCTTTATTTTCCTTCGTTACCGGTTCCCGTACAATCAGTCTGAGTTCAGGCATGTCAGTTGGGTTCTACGACGGTTCGCACAAACTTTTTCGTCAGTTGACTGAAGCGGTGGCTTTATGGGCAAGACAAACAAAAACGAAAACAGGAGTGTTGTCCGCTATGAGCAGGATCAGGGTTCGAATCCCAGACACTTGTATCTTTTCATCAGTTGTCAACTTGTATCTGGTATCATCAGTACAAGTTTCGTGACAGTCCCCACCAAGTGAGTCGGTAGTAGAGTGGGCCAAGGAGTCGGCTGCCATGAGGAGAGCGCGGGTTCGAGTCCCGTGGGCTCCAAACTTTTCCTTACTCTCAGTTCACTTCTTGAACCCAAAGAATCAAGTCTGAGGTTGGGCGTCGAAGTACCGTGTGGATTGGTGGCTCAGGCCGCAGAGGTAGCGGCCGCCCCGGGAGAGGTAACTGGTTCAAATCCCAGGCGTAGAAATGTTTTCCTCAGTTGAACTTTGAATCCCGTACCACCAGTATCAACATCGGCAAACATTCCGCCTGTGCCTCGGTGGCTGAGAGCGCAGAGGAAGTAGACGCCCCGAGAGAGCACTTGGGTTCGAATCCCAGGTGCAGGAACAATTTTCTCAGTTGACTGCTCGAATGCGGTACCATCACTCTAAGATTGGACAGGCAGTCAGTGACAGGAGCACCGGTGGCTCAGTGGGCTGAGAGGTCGGCCGTGGTGAGAAGTAGCTGGGTTCGAAACCCGGGTGCAGAAACATTTTCCTCAGTTGACTGCTTGAATGCGGTACCATCACTCTAAGTTTGGACATACCTCAATCAATCGGGGCCTCGGTGGCTCAGTGGGCTGAGGTGTCGGCTGTGGTTAGAAGTACGCGGGTTCAAATCCCGTCTGGGTGTGGGCTTCTGTTTTGCGGATCACTTGTGGTCCAGCCGTTAATCGCAATCGCCGCAGCGCTTTTGCAGCAGCGTGTCAAATGGGTGGCCTACCTTGACGGCGCGTCCCGCCCTTTCTAATGGAGAGACGCGCCTCTCCCCTTATAATAAATAAGTGACGCGTCCAAACTAGGACGCGCCTGTATGTAAGAGACGCGTAGGGGGCGGGACTCTCTCGCGCCCCCACCCTCTGCCCGCGTCCCAACACCCACGCGTGTCTAATGGGTGGCCTACCTCGGCGGCGCGCCTCTCTAAGCTAGCTGGCACTCGGATGCAAAAGAGTTCCCGCCGTCGGCCCCTCCCCCCCTACCCCCCCTCCCCGAAGGAGAGTGGAGTAGGGCAATCATAAAGGGTTAGCAACCTGACCTGGCTGGTAGCGAACCAGGTCCAACGGGAATCGTGTGCTGCCGCATGGCCTCCAACCAGCCTCCACGGCCCATCGCTCTGCCACCTGAGCTACGACAACACACCTGTGTGACTCGTCCTATCTTAGAGTGATGGTACCGGGTTCGAGAAGTAAACAGAGGAAAAGATTCACTCGGCTGGGATTCGAACCCAGGACTTCCGCCCGCCGGCCAACTCCTCTACCATTTCGGCCACTGAGCCTCTGCAAGCAGATCCGATCAATCTTAGAGTCATGGTACCGGGTTTGAGAAGTAAACAGAGGAAAAGATTCACTCAGCTGGGATACGAACCCAGGACTTCCTTCCGCCGGCCGACTCCTCTACCAACTCGGCCACCGAGCCACTGCAAGCTGACTCGATCAATCTTAGAGTGATGGTACATACCGGGTTTGAGAAGTAAACGAGGAAAATATTCAATCGGCTGGGATTCGAACCCAGGACTTTCTCCCACCGGCCGACTCCTCTACCATCTCGGCCACCGAGCTACTGGGTGCTATTGAATCGATCAATCTTAGAGTGATGGCACCGGGTTTGAGAAGTAAACAGAGGAAAAGATTCGCGCACCTGGGAGTCGAACCCAGGACCTCCTCCCGCCGGCCGACTCGTCTACTATCTCGGCCACCCAACCACTGCCATATAATGCGATCAATCTTAGAGTGGTGGTACCGGGCTTAAGATGTATCAACAAGCTGGCTGAGAAAAATGTTGTTATACTTGAGATTCGAAGCCCAGCCTCTCTCAGCGCAGCAGACAGCTCTGCTCACTGAACCACAGTCCGCCCAAACATATTAATTGTCAATTAAAAGCAATTAAGCGGTCAACTGAGGAAAATATTTTCGTCCGTGGGACGCGAACCCAGTTCCTCATCCGAGGCAGCCGCTGCCTTTACGCCCTGAGCCACTGTGCCCAAACTTAGACTGACGGACTGGAATCTTCTGCTCTAGGCTTGAGATGACTGAGAAAAACGCAATCTTTACTATGGGGAGTCGAATTGTACAAGGATGCAATTTTACTTTGCCTTAATTTTCCTCGAAGGCTTTTTGGAGTGCACGTATCCGTATTCAATTTGCAATTATCACATATGGAGCAGTGTCTAACTTGATTCTCACAGTGACTCTTCTTTTAGGATTCCGTCTCTGACCAAGATGCGCCGAGTCTTTTGGGTTTTGTTCGCTCTTGCTATCAGCATGTCAGCAACCACAGATGCTATGCCGAATGGAAATGGTAAGGGTTCATCTCGCTTAAAACTGACTGCCAATGGGCTGTCAGAAGTACGTGCTTTCGGTTTTATTGGCAGAGAAGTGGCGCACTGTCTCACGATGTGTACTGAAGGTGCACTTTATTTCGGGCTTCTCAAACATAAGTAGCTTGTTATAACAAAAAAAAAATTGTACGTGCAACTTGCACGATTTTGTGCATACGTGGAATTTTCATAATATCATGCGTTAAGATGCATAAATTTATGCTAATTCACGCATAATTTTATGCACGATGGTACGCAGGTTTAAAATCAGGCATCACCACGACCACGTACAAAATTACACATAAACATTTAGTGTGTGTACCGACGAATACATACGAAAGTATGAAACGTCCGTACCGGTTCGAATCGTATGTAATCGGGTACGGAAAAGAAGTACAGAAGTTCCGCAGTTGGACAGGTACGGACGGTCCGGGCAAATTATTCACACCAAATGTTTATGTGGAATTTTGTGCGTCGTGATGCACGATTTGAAACCTGATGTGGCACAGAATTGTGCAGAATTCGCCTAAATTTAGCTTCACGCATAACATTTATGCCATTTCCCCATGCACTAAATCGTGCAGCGTACATTTAATGTCTTTCGTGTGACAGGCTGCACCAACACCAACATATTATGGTGGAGATTTTCATAATACCACGAACCTCGTCAAATATAAAGTGTACAGGAATGTCAATGTATGTAATGGCGTCAGCTGAACCACCATAATATGGACATTTCCCATATATGGACAGTACGGACGGTCCGGGCAAATTATTCACACCAAATGTTTATGTGGAATTTTGTGCGTCGTGATGCACGATTTGAAACCTGCGTGTGCACAGAATTGTGCAGAAATTCGCCTAAATTTATGCTTCACGCATAACATTATGCCAATTCCCCATGCACTAAATCGTGCAGCGTACACTTTAAATGTCTTTCGGTGAAAGGCTGCACCAACACCAACATATTATGGTGGAGATTTTTTCCATAATACCAACGAAACTCGTCAAATATCAATAAGGTACAGTGAACTGTCAATTGTATGTTATGAGGCGTCAGCTGAACCACCATAATATGGAACATTTTCACCATAATATGGACAACATTCACATAAACATAGGTGTACCACGAATATACGAAATTATGAATAGTCGTACCGTTCAATCGTAGAATCTGGTACGGAAAGAAGTACAGAACGCAGTTGGACAGGAGGACGGTCGGCAATATTCACCAGGAATGTTTATTGAATCTCTTGCTCTCGTGATCACATAAACCTGCATAGCACAGATTGTGCATGAAATTCACCTAAATTTATGCTTCACGATAACATTATGCCATTCCCCATGCACTAAATCGTGCAGGTATCATTAAGATGTCTTATCGGTGAAGGCTGACCAACACCAACATATGATGTGGCCAGATTTCCATAATACGCAACGAACTCGTCAAATATCATAAGTGTACAGTGAATGTCAATGGTTGTTAGAGTCGTCAGCTGAACCCCTAATATGGAACATTTTCTATAGTGAATCTTCACTGTACAAGATGTAGAGTGTACAAAATTCTATTGGTGTGTTCACCAGACGTGTTCCGTACTTTTTCTGTACTTCTTTCTCGCAGTGTGGTAACTGCTGTGACACTGTGACGTCTGTTCCAGTGTCCGTGCCTTGCGTGGGGGAGGACGGCCCGTGCGAAGGCGAGAACGGCTGGCGAGGAAACTGCTGCGGTGGCTTCCTCTGCCGCAAGAGCGGCGACTCCAACCGGATTGACGAGAAAGGGCGCTGTGTGTACCACGCTCAGGCACACTGGTAAAACGGAAGTGGAGTTGTACCTTTCATTCAAGCGAACCACTACGCTTGAAGTCTCCAATTAGCTTAGTGTAGAGGAGATATTCCCCCATGCATTTAGATAGGGGGAATCTTGGTGGTTGGGCCTTATACGCTTGATGTCAAGCGTAACCTGATTACGCTTGAAAACAGAGGGTAATACTACGCTTTAGTTTTACCAGTGTAGTATTACTATGTAGGTTATAACCCACATCTCTTATGATACTACTTGGCACTCGGATTGAAATAAGATAGTAAGCACTCATAAAATCTGCACTGAAAAATAAAATTGTCGCGATTGAGTTAGTATGAGCGTACGAGTGATCATGGATGAATTTTAATCAGTACGAAACCTTGTGGACTGAGTGACAGCAGTGAAGCCCCATTCTCTATTGGGCTACAATGGTTAATTTTAGACCAAAGCCTTTCAGGAAAACCATTGACGGGCCCAAAATTCGATCGTCAAGTGAGGTTGTGCAAGCGAGCTTGTACTGTACGTGTAGAGAATAAAATAATTCAACTCTTTTCTTTGTGATTTTATTTATTTTGCTGTGCTTAGTCCCAAGAAAATAAAGTAACAGTCATCACATACATAATGACCTTATTCACAAACATTCAGTTTACTCCTAAGGTTTTTATTAACTCTAAACATAACAAAAGAAAAACAGTTTGTGGTCCACTCACACACTGTACAAAAGAGTCAGTCTTCTACGTATCACATATATCTTTTTTTTAACAAAAGCAATAAAGAAGAATAAGCAGCCTTGGCTACTGACTTCATATAGTTTCATAGAAACAAAACAAAAGTTTTACAAAACCATCATGCGAACTGTGAAAACTGTCTTACGTTTGCCACATTGGGCAGTCTGGTTGGTTCTTTTGCCTAATGCAAAAGAATTGCACATGAAGTGCAATGCCTCCATTCCCATGCATTAGCGTAGGGCATCATCGGGACGCATTGCACGTAAGGTGCAATATGGCTGAGGCATAGCACGTATGGTGCGATATCTCAGTACATTGCACCAAACGTGCTATATTCATAGCGTTTGGAAGCTCAGTTGTGTCACAGCGTGCGGTAGGACACCTTCCCGCTGAGGACGTCCTTGTTGCCGGCCACCTTCTCCAGCGTGGAGTGCGCGTCGATCCAGGCGCGCCGCTCGTCCGTGGTGGCCGCCTCCCGGATGAACTGGCAGCACTCGTCGAACTCGCACACCTCGCGCCGCGCCTTCAGGGCCTTGACGAACTTCTTGCACGTCATGTTGGGCTTCCTCTGGGCCAGCTCCACGTACGAGTGGTAGGTGAGCGCGATGTCCTGCGCCAGGCGCGCGCACGGCGCCGTCGGCAGCACCCGCGCGTTGGCCGGGTCCCTGCAGGCGAAGGAAAACGACAGGGTGAGATCAGAAGGACATGGAAAGCAGTAACGCACAGTGGGCCAGAAGACCGGTGGAGGCGGCCACAACTCTACACGCGTTTTGAGCTGTAGAGTCGTTAAAAAGGACTCGAACCGAGCGTGTGACCCCACCAATGGATTCCTCTGTCCGAGAGAAAATCCATTGGTGGGGTCACTCATTCGATTCGAGTCCCATTCAGCGACTCTGGAGCTCAAAACCCGTCCGCCTCGCCGGCCTTCTGGTCCACTGTGCACACTAAATGTTTATGTACAATTTTGTACGTGGTGATGCACAATTTTAAACTTGTGTGCCGTCGTGCATAAAATTGTGCGTGAATTTGCATAAATTTATGCATTTTCACGCATAATATTATGCAAATTCCCCGCATGCACAAAATCGTGCAAGTGGCACGTACAAAATTCTACCTAAACATTTAGTGTGTGGGACGGTTCCGATTCACGCGGACTTACTTGAGCAGCCAGGCGGCCCGCACGCGGTGGTTCACGTAGTCCTCGAACTTCCTTTCGGGCGGCGGGAACTGGGAGTACACCATCCTGCCTCCCTTGTTGCGCTTGCGAGCCAGCTGCCACATGGCCTTGTGGAAGGACTCCAAGGCCAGGGTCTCCGTGTCCTCGGGCAGCCCGACGTACCTGGAGCAACCAAAGAGCCGTCAGAAAAGGAACGCTTTTGAATGGCTTTGGCGCGGCGGCACAGTGGGCCAAAACCCGGGAGGTGGTCGAAACTCGGATGGGTTTTGAGCTCCAGAGTCACTAAATTGGTCTTGAACGTGTGACCCCACCATTGACTTGTTCTCCGAACGAGGAATCAATTGGTGGGGCCACGTTCGGTTCGTGTCCCTTTTATCAACTCTGGAGATCAAAACGCGTCTAGAGTTTTGGCCACCGACGCCGGTCTTCTGGCCCACTGTGGGCGGTACGCAAACTGGGTCGAGACTCACCACATGTCCATGGTGGCCTTGTTGAGCAGGGTGGGCCTGCAGGTCTGCGCGCACAGCGTGTCGTGCTGCTGGCCCTCCAGGGGCCGGCACTTGTCGACCTCCACGCCGTGCACGCACAGCAGAGGCTCGGCCTCGGCCACGCCCGTCAGGTCCTTGCGCACGGCCTTCTCCTCGTGGGCCAGCCTGTCGGGGTGGCAGCCGGCGGCGGCCAGCTGGTCCAGGCGCTTGGTGTACATGCGCACGGAGTAGGAGCGGCCCTTCTTGGCGCGCAGGCGCGCGTCGCGGCCCGACTTGGAGTACTGCACGCCCGACATGAGCGCGCTCAGCGTGCGGAAGTGCGCCCTGGGGAACGGCTGGTCCTGGAAGGCGGGCCCCGCGTACACCCGCAGCGCGTCCCAGACCTTGGCGGCGTCCTCCTCGCTCTGCGTCCACCAGAACTGCGTGAGCACGTCCAGCGGCAGGCGCGGGTCGAGCGCGGCCTGCAGCACGGCGCACGCCAGGCGCGCCGCCGTGGCGAAGGTGCCCTTGATGATGACGGGCAGCCCCACGGTGAAGGTGAGCGGCGTGGCCATGCCGCCGACGTACCGCCGCCACACTGCGCGCAGCTTCTCGGCCTCGGCGCGGTCCTCCGGCCGGGCCATCTCGTGCGTCTTCCAGGCGGCGAAGGCCTTCTCCAGCACCAGGGCCAGCGACAGCGCCACGGACGGCATGGAGCGGCCGCCGCGCACGAACCGCGACAGCATGTGCGCGTTCCACGCGTCCACCTGGGCCAGGCGGTCCGCGGGCAGCGACTCCGCCGAGGCCGGCACCAGCAGCACGCAGTCCATGTGCTGCCGCGTGAACGGGTTCACGCCGAAGCTGTACGCGCCCGAGCTGAGCGCCTCCGGCCCCACGTCCACCGCGGCCACCGTGTCTTCTTTGCGGAGGTGCGCGCCGGCCTGCAGGCCCTGCAAGAACTCGCCAAAGTTGAAGGGGCGCCGCTCGGGTTGTTCGTCCTCCTCGTCCTGCGCCTGCCACGGGTTGGCCACGTCCGAGACGCCGTCCGTGTGCTGCTGGTCGCGCAGCGAGAACAGCGTGTCCAGCCCGAACGTGTTGTCGAAGTTGGCCTTGACGTTGACCGCCAGCGCGCACTTGATCGGCGTGTTGAAGAGGCGCCTCCTGGCGGCCAGACGCGCCATGCGCGCCGCGCGAGACTTGCCGCGAACCTTGTCCACGTCCGGCGGGTTCGGCATGTCCAGCTGGGCGGGCATCACGATCACGGCGTTCTTGCCCATCCCCAGGAACATGATGTGGTCCAGCAGCACCTCCTCCTGCTCGTCGAACTGCTCGCCGGCCCCCCTCTTCAGCACCATGGGGGCGTAGGCGGAGACGCGGATCAGAGACCCATGCCTGCAGCAGACCAAGTGCACCATTAGCAAGAGAAAACCACGTAAGCACGTCCGTGGGAGTGTACTCGTGAATACACGCCAGAGAGAGTGTACTCGGGAGTACACGCTGAACAGAGAACACTGTTGAGTTTGCAGAGCAGTTTAAGTTAAAATAATTAGTCGAGGGATGGCTCGGAGTCAAGATGCCTCCGTTCCCCTACCCACTAGGGAGGTTGCATGGTAAAAAGCATCCGTCCCAATAGCATTGAATTTCAGTGTATACAAATTTTGGAACTCCACATGAGTTTTGGATGAATTTTCATTTCAATGAACTTTGAAATCAATTTCACTGGGTTTTAGAAGAATTTGCTTGAAAATCGATTGATTTTGATGAACTTTGACTACACTGCAAATGCAACGGCGATACTAAAGTACATTTTTTGACGACACAATTGAGTATCGCCAATGAACGGCCTTACGGAAAAGTATTGCCTTTAGAACGGCGATCACCAAAATTTGGCAATACTTTTGGATATTGGCAAAACCACGTCATTAAAACCAAGGTCTTCTCCCCTTGATTTGTTCGGCGTTTAATGCCAAATCGTGGCAATACTCCAAAGTATCGCCAAATCGTGGCAATACTCCAAAGTATCGCCAAATTTTGGCGATACTTTTGTGTATCGCCGTTTTGAAGGCAATACTTTTCCGTAAGGCCGTTTATTGGCGATACTCAATTGTTTCGCCAAAAAAGGTACTAAAAGTATTGCCTTTGGATTTACAGTGTAAAATTTAAGATCCTCAGAGCATTTTGGAGTACAAATTTTTGAAAGTTGCTTCCGTTTGATGTATTGATGCGTCCGTCAGTCAACTCACTTGGTCTCGTTGAGGAAGCGCTGGCAGTAGCCCTGCACCATCTTGACGTCGTCGCTGACGGCGTGCCCGACGAACGGCTTCTTGGCGGCCGCCCAGTCGCCGTTGGCCACCGCGTCGAGGAGGGCCTTCTCCTCCTCGGCCGCCATCCGCCGCACGCGGTGCTCCTCGATGACGGCGTCCACGCGCTCCTTCACCAGCCGCCGGATGTCGCGGCGGGCCGCGGGGGACGCGTTGGCGAAGCGCTGCGCCAGGTAGTGCACGCCCGTCGTCATGTCCGCCTCCGACTTGCCCAGCCCGATGTACTGGTCCAGGATGTCGACGGCGGTCACCGTTTCGGAGATGGGCACTGCAGCGAACTCGATCAACTGGAATGGGAACGGGAATTTAGTAAAGGGCAACGTACGTACTTAGACTCTCGAATCCAGTGAGAGTCTGAAATCCAGTGTCTGGAATCCACGGAATCTAGAGTCTGGGACTTAGAGTCTGGAATCCAGAGCCCGAAATCCAGAGTCTTGAATCCAGTGTCTGGAATCCAGAGTCTAGAATCCAGAATGTTGAATCTAGAGTCTAGATCCAGTGTCTGGAAATCTGAATCTCGAATCCAGAGTCTAGAATCAAAGGGGCCTTAAGTCTCAAAAGTGTCAAATCGAATCTAAAATCGAGAGTCTTGAATCAAAAGTCCCAAATCGCGAGTTCCAAATCGAGAGTCTGGGATTGAGAGTCTCGAATTGAAAGTATCGAATTTAGGCTAGAGTCTGGAATCCAGAGTCTGGAATCCAGAGTCTCGACTGACCCGCAAGCAGCGAGTTACGGTCGCCGTGCCCGGAAATAAGAAGACAAAGGGAAAGGAGAAAGTTGAAAAACGAGATCAAAGCCCACCTTCTTGTCGCCGCCCTGCGCGACGCGCGTGCGGTGCATCTCCAGCACGTAGCCGTCGAAGATGGCGGACAGCCCCACGTTCATCTGCTCGAGGTGGCTGTTGACGTAGTTGACGACCACCTCGCGGAACCGCAGGTGCTGGCCGTGCGTGGCGAGCCGCCGCCGGGCGTCTGTCACACTGTACTCGTCGATCTCGCCGTCCGTGTACACGTGGAGGTCGACCACGCCGGACGGGGGCATCTTGTCCAGGAAGCAGATCGGCTCGTTGCCGCACAGGTGCTTCGACTGGTCCTTGAGGTACTCCAGCACGTCGTCGAGCGAGTCCCTGAACTCCCCGGTGGTGCCCCAGAGGATCCACTTGGTCCTGCCGGCGGGCAGCTGCAGGTTCTTCAGGTCGTTCATCACCCACGAGGGGTAGATGACGTCCCCGCGGATGGAGCCGCTCACGTCCAGGGCCACGTACACCGTGACGTCGGCCGCGTCCACGGCCGTGGCCTCGACGACCTCCATACCGGCCGCGTCGGCCACCTCGGCCACGGCGTTCGTGTCCTTGTTGGTCATGGCTGCCTTCAACCTGAAACAGAGGGCGAGAATCAGAGCACTGCAGTGCAGGTGCGGTTTTTAGGGGGGAAAGGGGAGACCCTTTGTTCTTTGTTCCTCCCGAGGGGAGGGGCAAGCAACTTCGACAAAATTTGTACACTGTTATTTCAAATTCACGTTATTTCACGTTATTTCATTGTTCTTTCAACGTTCAAGGGTATTTCAAGGGTATTTCAACGTTATTTCAAAGTTATTTCACGTTTTTTCACCGTTATTTCACCTTATTTCAAGGGAAATGTACACCAAAATTCAAGTTGTTTGCCCCTCGCCCCCCTCCGAAAAAAAGAGAAAAACTCCAAAAAGCCGCCTGCAAGGTAGGCAAAAAGGGGGCGTTCCACGTCAAACCATCATGGTCCAAAACGTACTTGCTCAGATCCGGCCCCCAATTTTTTATCTGGTAGTGTACCACCCAAAGACCACTCTCATAAATTTTTTTGAAAAAAAATTCAGAACTTTGGCCACAGTGATTTTTTGAAACTTCAAAAAAAAATTAAATTTTTTTTTTGTTTTTTTAAAATTGTGTATCTAGGTGCTCAAATGGGTTGAAAACAGTAAAGGGCAACAGAAAATAGTGAAAGAAAAAATTGGGACCCCCAGCCCTTACCAGAAACAAAGTTTACGATAAAAAAAAACACGGTTTCTTGAATTCCCAAAATACGCCGTCTCACTTTTGGACCATATTGGCATCAAAGGACCCCAATGAGGTACTCTAACTGTCACTAAAAAATTAGGGACGGCAATCCATAAACACCAGAGATATTGTCAAAAAACTCAAAAAGTTATCGAAGGTTATCGAAGCTTTTCCCCCAAAAATTGTCAAAATGGGACCTTTATTGATTCCGCTGAGGCACTGTGCATTGAAATACTATTCAATTGTCTATCTTAACCCCATGGAAGATGTGAGAGAGGTAAAGGTCAGCATTACAAGAGTTTTGGAATTACACGGCAATAAGTTTTTTTAATTATAATAACCAAATGCGACAAAATGCATTGTTTGGCAGTCGCCAACTGAAGCTCATTGATTGGTGGGGACTTCATCCAAGCCATCTTCACCTTGACCATGCAACTGCTGGAGACTTAAAAGAAGAAAATGAAGATGACCTGGATGAAGTCCCCACCAATCAATGAGCTTCAGTTGGCGACTGCCAAACAATGCATTTTGTCGCATTTGGTTATTATAATTAAAAAAACTTATTGCCGTGTAATTCCAAAACTCTTGTAATGCTGACCTTCACCTCTCTCACATCTTCCATGGTGTCAAGACAGACAATTGAATAGTATTTCAGTGCACAACGCTTCAGCGGAACCAATATAGGTCCCATTTTGACAATTTTGGGGGAAAAAGCTTCGATAACCTTCGATAACTTTTTGAGTTTTTTGACAATATCTCTGGTGTTTATGGATTGCCGTCCCTTATTTTTTAGTGACAGTTAGAGTACCTCATTGGGGTCCTTTGATGCCAATATGGTCCAAAAGTGAGACGGCGTATTTTGGGAATTCAAGAAACCGTGTTTTTTTTTATCGTAAACTTTGTTTCTGGTAAGGGCTGGGGGTCCCAATTTTTTCTTTCACTATTTTCTGTTGCCCTTTACTGTTTTCAACCCATTTGAGCACCTAGATACACAATTTAAAAAAAACAAAAAAAAAAATTTAATTTTTTTTTGAAGTTTCAAAAAATCACTGCGGCCAAAGTTCTGAATTTTTTTTAAAAAAATTTATGAGAGTGGTCTTTGGGTGGTACACTACCAGATAAAAAATTGGGGGCCGGATCTGAGCAAGTACGTTTTGGACCATGATGGTTTGACGTGGAACGCCCCAAAGGTATATCCTGAAAGTAATCAAACACAGGCAAAGAGAAGAGCTCCTCAGAACCGCTTGGCCGGTGACTCGGCGCCTGATACTACAAGATCCCACTTCCTGTCTCATAGCCACACCTGCAACCTATCTGCAGCCCTTCTCTTCGCCACACCTGCACCTGCAACCTATCTACAGCGTTAGGAGTAAGACCACTGCCAATCCAGAGGCGATACTTCGGCACCTTTCTGGCGATACAATTGATCAAACAAATCTTGCCTTCAGAACGGCACACACTACATGTTGAAGTACAATTTTGGACGTGGTGATGCCTTATTTTAAACTTGTGTACTGTCGTGCATGCATAAAATTGTGCGTGAATTTGCATATATTTATGCATCTTTACGCATGATACTATGCAAATTCCACGTATGCACAAAATCGTGCAAGTTGCACGTACAAATTTCTACCGAAACATTTAGTGTATACACACCAAAATCTGGCGATAAACAGAGACCTAGTCGCCTTGATTTGTTCAAAGTTTATTGCCAAATCGTGGCAATACTTTAAAGTATCGCAAATTTTGGCGATACTTTTGTGTATCGCCGTTTTGAGGGCAAGATTTTTCAGTGAGGCTCTTTGTTGACGATACTCAATTCTATCGCCAAAAAAGGTACTAAAAGCACTCTCATTCCAGGAACGTGACATCACGTTAAAACGAACGTGACGTTCGTTTGAGCGTTGTGTCACGTTCGTTTGAATGTGAACAAGAGAATTTTTGGCCGATTCACATCCAAACGAATGTGACACAACGCTCAAACGAACGTGACATTTTGTCACGTTCATTTCAACGTGATGTCACGTTCCTGGAATGAGAGTGAGTAAAACCTTCGGATTTACAGTGGACCACTTCAACCGCGGGTCGAGCCGACGGGCGAAAAACGGGAACAGAACGCAAAAGGAGTTCGCGTTCTGCGAGTGTTTTCTGTCACCCGCTTCCACGCCGAGATGGCAGTGGCCCCGAATCGCTGGGTTTGCCCAACATTGCGCAACATGGACACGCCCACACGCGACCGTGTCCGGAACCGGAACTCGTGCTTTACTTCCGGTCGCTACACGAAGTATCCACTAGTTCACCGCGTGTACTTACGGCTGCAGCGGACTCGAGACGTGTAGTGTTTCGCTGGCGGCGGAGCTACGCAGGGACGCCGTGTGGTTTGGTGACTCACGGCGGCGGCGCGGCGCTTCAAGCTTCAACCCGGACGGAGCGAGCGACCGAACGGCGAGCCGGCGTCCGCCGCACTGGCATGCCATGCCTGCCTGGCCACCGGTCGGTCGGTCGCCGGCACGCCAGGCGGCGCGGCAAGGCGGGGGGCCGAGGTGGGGGGAGTTGGGAAGGGCCGCCGACGCCAGATGCCGCGGAGAGACGGGGCGGGGGGCGGGCGGGGCGGTGAAGCGGGAAAGCGAGGGGAGAGAGAGAGAGAGAGAGAGAGAGAGAGAGAGAGAGAGAGAGAGAGAGGCGGGGAGTCACTGTTCGCCCACTGTTCTCATAACGCTTCGCAGGGGAACCCCGCTGACGTCACCGCTGAGTCGACACTGAGAACCCAAACGCTGTTTGGTGCAATGCGTCTGGATCCGTTTTTGTTGCGCCGAGTGGTGCAACACTTTCGCATCGCACGCAAAAGTAGACACGTGACCGAAAGTGGCAAGAAAACAGTTGTCACTGAGCACAGAAACCGAAAATAGGAACAGTGGCAAAAGAGATGCCAACGGCATGCGGTGTTCCCAAGCGGTCACCCATCTAAGTACTGACCGCACCCAACGCTGCTTAACTTCGGTGTGCGGAAGGGAACCGGTGGACCCAGCGTGGTATGGTCGTTGGCGAGAGACGCTGCTGCGCGCCGCGTACTAGTCGCGCTGCCACCAGCCGCCGAGGCCCCGCGCGGGCGGCGGGTTGCCTAGCCTCTTATTTTGAACGGATGCACCGGTGGAACCGTTTCCGCAAGAGACTAGGGTCGTCATAAGGCGTCATTCTTCCATGCCTTTCAATGCATTGGCATTAGCGGGACGCGTAAGGTGCCATGGCATCGCACGATGTTCAGGGCAAACAACATGAATCTTGGTGTGCACCAAGAGTACGGCAACCCAAAGAACACACTGTAAAAAAAATATTTTGAAATTTCAGACAAAATTTGACTGAAGTTAATTAACAGTAAGGGGTTCTGAAATTTCAGACCATTTCGGCGGTCTGAAAACTTAGAATAGGGTGGTCTCAAAGTTTAGAATTGGGTGGTCTGAAAATAAAGATTTACGTAGTCTGAATTATTAGACACGGCCAGTCTGAAGAAAATTCAGACAAATCACAAAACTGTAACGTTGAACCTTCACTCCATTGCGAGAGAAGTCGTTGATAGAACTTGCGCGTTACTTATCGGCCGTGCTCTTTACTCGGAAACTCCGAATATCATGGTATTCGAACCATCGAATCCTCGCTCTTCGGCTTTGCGGGCTATCCATTACACCACGGGACCGCTCTGAGAGCACGGCTGCAGGATGCCGATGACCCCAAGCGCGCTCGCTGGACGCTGGGAGGCCACAAATAAACAAACCAAGCGCGTGTTGCGGGTGTTAAACTGCGGACAGCTTGGGCTGTTCGTGAATATTTAAGATATTGTATCGAGCTCTCAAGTATTGCGGTAAAATTTGGTCAAGTGAGGCAACCAGTCTGACATTTCAGAACATACGTCTCCCGTTTCAGACCCATGGTCTGAAAAAACACAACCAGTTTGAAATTTAAGATCAACCGGTCTTCCTTTTCTGGAGAATAGTCTTAAACGGCGATTCAGACTACATGGTCTTGTACTTAGTCTGAATTTTCAGTCACCCCTGTCAGACTTTTTGTCTGGATGGTCTGAATTTGCTTTTAAGACTGCGAAAGTCTTAAATTTCATCCGAGGATTCTTCTTTTGCATACTTCTGGTCTTAATTCAGAAATCAGACTACTAGGTCTTACAAAATTGGTCTGAATTTTAAGATTTTTTTTAACAGTGTAGGCTTATTTCTCTGGGTTTGATCGTCCAAGTCGATTTAGAGCGTAAACGGACATAAAAACCAAAAGCATCGCGCTAGTTTATGTGGTAAAGTCAATGTGGATTGTACGATGATATTTCGTTGCCCAATCTCTCCTAGACTCGAGCGGCGAAAATATTATTATGGGTATGTCTCAGTGTCTGTGTGTTTGTGCAATGGTGGGGGGAGGGGGCCATTTGGCCCGCTCTTTTCCTTTCTTGC